AAAAAAAAAAAAAAAAAAAAAAAAAACCCACAAAAAACTCCCAAATGTTATGTTAATGTGACCTGCCTAGAGTCACTGTAGGGGTAAAGCCTGGACCCACAGCTTTTTTTCCCACTACCCTGCTCTATCTCCCTAAAGAAAATGGATTTAGATGGGTGTGACAGTGCATAACTGTAATCCCAGCAAGTTCAAAGCCAGCCTGGACAACTCAGTGAGATCCTGTCTCAAAAATAAAATTTAAAAAGGGGCTGTGGATCTGCAGCTTACTTGGAGAACATTTACCTAGTAGCATGCATGAGACCCTGGGTTCAATCCCCACTACTGGCGGGGTTGGGGTGAGGGGTCAGTTTAAAATGAAATGTATTATTACCTAATATTTAAGGCAGTCTGAAAAATCTATCAAACAGTCCTTAATAAATTGATTACTGCCTCTTTAAGAGCTGGTAGCTTAAGCAGAATCTCTCTACTAAGGCCTGAGAGGCAGTTCTCTCCCTGGTACTGGGCAGGGGTCTATAGGCTACAGTTCCAGTTATGACCATGGGGCTCCTGCCCTGTTCCCAACAAAAAACAAAATGAATGTCTTCTGTCTTCTGTTGCCATTTTAACCTCTTACTAGAGGGATCAAAATATGGTTAAACAGGATGCAACAGGACTGACTAATCAATTTCCAAAACAATGCCTTGGCAGGCTCTAGAGGGCGGAAGAGGCAGGTGCGTCAAGGTCCTACCAAGTCAAGGAGTGAGTCAGGCTATTGGTTATGTTATAGAGCATCCCACCTCACTGGACAGATAACTGGTGAAATGTCCTATCAACATGACAAATGGGATGACTTTCACTATCACACAAGAATCCCAATGAAGACACACAAAATCCACTGGATCACACTAAAGACCAGTGCGCTGAATGGGATTAACTTTATATCATCCTTCCTCTAAGAGTCTCTCCAAAGCAAGAGATCACAAATAAGCACACCATATTATCAGAATCCCAGCACAACCTGTCTCTTATCACAGAGTAATCTGGCAAAGGGTATATCTTAGTGTCATGAGTGGGTTGTCACTCACCACTCCTACATCTCTAGACAGTCCTCTTGTCCATTACCTACATCTCATTTGAACACATGAGCCAAGCGGCTCACCCCACTGCTCACCTTCAGACAGTGGCAAATGACAACATTCTGGACCCTGAGAAATGATATGTTTGATGGAGAGATTATTGGACTTTCAAATAAAACCCAAGTTCAGACCCCTGGGAAAAATAAAAAGGAAACAAAACACAATGGACCTCAAACATGTTTCATATACATATTTATATATATTTCATGTACAAAGTTACATTCCGAACCCCAGGGATTCCATAATAGAAATAAATACTGAAATAACTACATTGCTAAGTGAGCTTTTTGCTCATAGAAACAAAGCCTCAGCCTCTAAGACAGTCAAGTGGGACACTCCAGAATCCCACTTTATGGAGGCAAGTAAAATTCTGGATAAGATGTCTAGAACAAAAAACAAATTTAGAACATAAATTGTTAAAATATATTCAAATATTGAGAAATGCAGGACAAAATTAATAATAAAACTTAATTATTTAAGAAAAAGACAATTAGTGTTACAGAAGAGCATAACCCTGTTAGAAAAGCATTGATGACTTCCACATTTCATCTTCTCTCCTCCTCTTCCCCTGTCACAAAGTGAGACCAAGTAAGTCACTTTCTCAACATGATCAATTAAGAAGAGCCCTACTGGCAATGCAGCATGGTGGTAGAGCACTTGCCCAGCATGCACAAGGCCCTGGATTCCAACCCTAGCACAATGGGGTGGAAAAACAGGGCAAAGAAAAGCCCTAACTCTGGTTGAGTCCTTTGGTAAAGGTCATAATACTCACAAGAAAATAAATATTCAGTTCCACAGCATTTCCAAGACACACATCCTTTAGGACAGTTAATATTATGAGATGTTTTATTACTAAGGCAGCCTATGTCAAGAGTTCTCTTCTCAAATGCAGGAAGAAACGAAAAATATTGCAACTGAGAATCTTTTTTTTTTGTATTGGGGATTGAACACAGGGGTGCTTAACCACTAAGCTACATCCCCAGCCCCCCACCTTTTTTTTTTTTCATTGAGACAAGATCTCATTAAGTTTCTTATGGCCTTGTTAAATTGCCTGGCCTCAACCTTGCAATCCTCTGGTATCAGCCTCCTGAGTCACTAGGACTACAGGCATGCGCCAACATGCCTGGCTCAAGAGAATGTATTTTAGCCTTTCTTTTTCTTATTTTGCGGTATTAGAAACTGAACTCAGGAGTGCTCTACCACTGAGCTATATCCCCAGTCCTTTTATTTTTCATTTTGAGACAGGGTCGTACTAAGTTGTTGAGGCTGGCCTCAAACTTATGATCCTCCCGCTTCAACTTCCTATGTAGCTGGGACTACAGGTGTACACCACTGAGCCTGGCTTTCTACATAAACACACTTCATCTGGAAAGTCACGTGCTGAATATTCTGTGCTAAAATGTTTTACACTCTCAACAAGTTGCAATTTTTAAGAGACTGATTCCTATTTTAACAATTTAGATCCACACAAGTTACAGAAAAATACTCTCAAAACTGAGTCCATAGAAAATATTCTCCCTTTGCCTCATGGAGATTTTAACTTAGACTTAATAAGTATTAGATTGAGGCATACAGTGATGCCATTTCTATAGATCAGCTATGGCTGAACAATGATAATTTCATGACTCAATTTCTTCTTCTTTTTTTTGACAATTTTTTAATATTTATTTTTTAGTTTTCGGTGGACACAACAACTTTATTTTATTTTTATGTGGTGCTGAGGATCGAACCCAGTGCCCCGCACATGCCAGACAAGCACGCTACCGCTTCAGCCACATCCCCAGCCCTCTTCTTCTTCTTTTTTAATATTTATTTTTTAAAAGTAGTTGGATACAATACCTTTGTTTTATTTTTATGTGGTGCTAAGGATCGAATCCAGGGCCTCGCACGTGCTAGACGATCGCTCTACCGCTGAGCCACAATCCCAGCACCTTATATGATTCAATTTCATACATAACCCAATGTAACAAAATGAGAATCCTTAGTACCCCTGATTTCTTCCAATAGGGGCAAATTTTCTATGTGGAGAGACCAACCCAAGGCACTCAATCCTTGTTCGTTCTGGATTTGGGAGCTACAGCCCTCTACTGCTTTTGAGAAGCTTACATTTGGTCATTTCTTCAAAAGACTACCACCTTGATCAAAGTAGACATTACAAGAATATAAACCTATTATTGGGGGAAAGAGGAAGGAAAGTAATCTATAGAAAGTGTTTAACTGAAATTACAAATATACGCACAAGTCTTTAAAACAAATTATACAGGCATTTTTGTCCTTTTTGGTCCCTGAAATTAATTAACAGGGCCACAGACAATCGGATATCTTTAGGTAAAATGATTACGCACCTATATTCCTTAAGTCAGAGCTGGTAAGTTTAAAAGGAGCATTTACAACCACGTTTGCACAGTTCATTGTTAATTCCTGATTTCCTAAGTTACATCAATCATACAAATGTGTGAAAGGCTTCTGAACAAGTGGGGCATCTGACTCTGGGATGCTTACCTCTTGGGATTAAAATTCCCAACACTTTGGTGTCTCTATGAATTTATACAACATTCTTAACAAAGGTTTAATAATGCTTTTTTAGGAATTGCCAAAAGTGGCTAAGATTAAAACAAAAACACATAGCAAACAAGCTATGGAAAAGTGGCCTAAATTTTGTTTCCTTAAGTGACTAAGCTCAAGCAAAAAATTATCTGTTACATACAGCTTTTATTAAAATAGGTTTTTCTTCTAAAACATACATAGCCACAGTTTTATGGTGTATACAGTGTGCTTATAGACACATGTGGCCAAATGGATCCAAAGGTCTTCCAAAGCTCAGTAAATCCCACGTATTTTATGTCCTAGCCAGATCATGTATATGCGTTAAAGTTACTGGTATAGTTTTTACAGATATCTTTGTGTAATAGTTCAGAAGAAAAAGAAAAAAAACAAAACAACCCTGGTACCTAAGAATGTTTTGACAATTGGAGACCTGTGTTTGCTTTCTTTTCTTTGAAGTCCTTACAATGACGGGCGAACATTTTTCCTGTAAGTTTGTATTTTTCTTTTTTTTTTTAGTTGTAGATGGACACAATACCTTTATTTTTTATGTGATGCTGAGGCTCAAACCCAGTGCCTCACACATGCTAGGCAAGCGCTCTACCACTGAGCCCCAGCCCTAGCCTCAATAGGTTTGCATTTTTAAAATAGCATAAAATTATATTTAACTTTACCTAGAGTAACAATAAGAAATGGTAAACCATACATTTTCAAGAAGCTTGAGAGGGAAAAACCTAAAGCATCATGGTTTTAAAAAACTTACTAAGGGAAAAAAAATCAGTCAAATCTAGATTCTAATCTATTTTTTGAATGGATACTGTTAATTGAAAAGATATAATTATCAGCCTTGACTTTATATATATATATATATATATATATATGGTATATCAGCTTTGTCTTCTTCCCCTTCATAGTTTTCCTTTTTGAAGATAAAATACTATCTAAGCTCAAAATACTGAGCTTAGAAGGGCGCAAAAGCTTAAACATGTTACTTACATCCAAAATACCAAGTATTTAGTAGTTTTACACAGAAAAAAGAAAACAACCCTCCTGGTCAAATTTCTTATTCAATGGGCTAGTGATGTAGCTCAGTGGTAAGCATACTTGACTGGCATGCATGAGGCCCTAGGTTTGGTCCTCAGGAACACACACACATATACACACAAAATCCTCACTTAATTGGTGAGGACAGACTCCATCACCCTCCATCACGACTTCACTTTTACTTCTAACAGGTCAGAGCAGCCCAGGAACATGTGGCAAATAGGTGATATTTTATACGGAAAAAAAACCCGAATTAACTACCATCATCTCTGGTACGATGAATGCAAAACACAAGGCTAAAGCTTCTTCTAAGCTTTATAAATTATAAACCTCTCAAACGTGTCAGTTTGAAAACAAGAGAAACTAGTCTCAAAAAAAAAAAAAAAAATCAGGATATTCAGAGAAGCAGGCCTCATAAACTTTAGAGCTCTAATAAGTCAGAAACAGGAAACTTTTATTTAAATAGTGTAGTCTTAATTTCTTTAATATAAAACCCCCTGAAAATCTGATGAAAACAAAGTTTTATATATCATATAAACAAGATTTGTCAGACTTGAAAAGTGAAAGTTAATTTACAGTTAGCTTTTAGCCTTTTTGGGATAGTTAGACAAATCCTGATACTCCATCTGATAGTAGTGTGTGTCAATTTTATATACACCGGGGAAAACTCTGTTATAGTACTTACTGGTACAGTTTCATTTATCAAGTGTTTTCCAATAATTCCATTATTAGTGACAGCTAAAAAGTGACCCCATCAAATGAAGTGAGTGACATTAGACTGTGGCAGAAAAAACCACATCTGGATTGCTTTCTGTAATTCACCAGTTTGAAGAAAGTAATTCTTTGATTTGTTCATAATATACTGAAATTGCCTATAACACTGGTGCAGTAAAACAGCTAGTTCCTCTGTATTGTTACGGCAGGACAGATTTTGTAATATAAAGTTAACAGGAAGAAATGCTCACATATTATGTGGTGAAACTTATTTCACCACAAAAAAAAAAAAAAAAAAAAAAAAAAAAAGCATTAAATAAAGGGGAAAAGGAAAAATAAACCATGCAGAAGAGACATGTCCCTATCTCCACCTGTATCCTATGGGCTCACTCACTGCCATACATCACTTGCCATACTATCAAGTGACTTCTTTCTGCTTTGGTGACAGATGGTTCAAGTGGAAGATCTTCTCCAAGAAGTTCTGATTCTCCACCTTCATCACCTAGTGGATGATAAGGAGACTCAAGTTAGATTAACATGGGTAATATAGAACTATGTGAATTACATAATGCTCATGGTTAGCCTATGCATAGATGCACAAAACTTGTCTGACTTCCATTGCAGAAAAACAGTAAAAGAAATACCATAAGTCAGAATCTTCACCCACTCATGCAAGTCATTACAGAGCTTTGAAAAGGTTTATTCGTTTTCCCCTATACTTATAAAAACGAGTTCACCATAGTATGTTGGTAAGACATTGCAATACATCTGCACACTGATGTTAACAGAAAAGGGAAGCTAAGACAACAAAGCTGTCCAAATCTGTGTTCATCCAAAATGGACAGCTGGGGCTGGAGATACAGTTCACTAGAAGAGTGTTTGCCCTAAGTTTGATCCTCAGAAGGCTGAGCCAGCCTCAGCAAAAGTGATGTGCTAAGCAACTCAGTGAGACCCTGTCTCTAAATGAAATAAATACAAAATAGGGCTGGGGACGTGGCTCAGTGGTCAAGTGCCCCTGAGTTCAATCCCCAGTACCAATAACAAAATAAAAGAATTAAGATTAAATAATGCTATAAGTGTGCACAAAGAGACAGAGCACACAAACTAACTAAATCCCAAATCCAAACAGTTTATTAAATCAAGTGACAGAAGAAAAGTTCTTCAACGGAAGATAACCGATTAAAAGTCTCCCTGAAAGACAGCAAATTCATCACCTGCTAAACTAGGCTTTTCTTCCCATGATTTTCAGGTTTAGGACAGGTGATGAATTAACAGCATATGGTAAAGATTGAGAAACAAAAAAGGTTGGGGCAGTAGGGAGGCCACAGGTCCTCTGCAAGGTGGCTAAGTGAATGTGGTGAATGAGGTAGTGGGCGCACTCACTCCTCTCCATAAGCTCACATCAGTTAACTTTTGTACAGAGCAGGGTTATTCTGACACAACCTAGTGACAACTTGTCTGGTGGGATGAATTCTTCAGCAAAATCCTAAAAATATGCATACCAAAGAACAAAGATATTCTACTGATGTTCTAAAATTTTCTAATGTGTCCACCTGAATTTCAGCTACACACAAAAAAATATAGAATAAAAAATAGAAATAGTGTAAGAGAAACAATCTTGATTATTTGCATCTTTCTTTGCAGGCCACTCCCTCCCTTATCCACCCCACTAATTTCTGCCCTTGTCCCACAAGAATGCCAAATCACAGAGATAAAATTCTGAACTAAAAAATCAACATGGTTAGTATGTGAAAAAAAAAATTAGGCTTGGCTCTTAATAGCTGTTGAGACAAAAAGTTGTTGGTACTTGTTTTCTGAGTTGTTTTGAAGATTCTATTTTATCCTGTTTCCAACAGTCTCAATTCAAGTTACAACATTAAAAAAAATAAAGAACCGATGGAGATTTGTTTGTCATTGTTAAAATATTGCAGGAAATAAAAAAGGAAACAGAACAACAACAACAAAAAAATTAATTTCATTTTTTTCAATATGACCCAAAATTTATTTATCGAAGTTAAAATACTTTAAAGTGTATACAAAATTGTAAAATAACTGATGCATTTTTCAATAAAGATATCCAACATAAAATGTAATAACAGAAGAAAACAAAGGATTCATCACTTTTGCTCCAATTTAAAGTCACCTTATTGATCGATACATCATGAAATCGATAGTTATACATCTAGGAAATTTACCAAAAGAGCTCTCTTCTACTGATGTGTATATTTTAATTTGTTTCATGTGGGTATCTCTCCCATTTTGGTGACTGGCTAGAACAGCAATCTGTATCATGAATGTTCAAGTTGGCTTCTTATGATTATCAGTTAAGGGAACATGAATCCAGCCATTTGGTTCTACCAATTCAAGTTGCTGAACTGGATGTTCACTAAATGAGGCTGGGACCCATCTGATTGCCAGTATGTTTCTAGATTGACATCTCGTAACTGATCCACTCCAAATCCCGGTTTGCAAGGTGAGAGTGACTAAACAGCTTGTGACCCAATTTCCCTTACTGTTCCAGTCCTTTCCAATTAATTGCTTAGGATCTGCACCAGGAGGTGTGTGTTTGGTCATTTTCTAAATATTACCTTCCAGACTTGGTTTGCCACAACTGAGGGTCTCAGGGATGGCGAGAGATCCACATCCCTCCCCACTCCACTTCTATGACAGCCTGGCTTCCCCAATGATGACTTAGAATGGGGGTCATAGCCCTTCCAATTTTTTTTTTTGTATTTTATTTATTTTTTAGTATTTGGCGGACACAACATCTTTGTATGTGGTGCTGAGGATAGAACCCGGGCTGCATGCATGCCAGGCAAGCGCACTACCGCTTGAGCCACATCCCCAGCCCCAATTTTTTTTAATTCACTACAAAAATTAATTTATAAGCCAGGTGTGTGGCACAGCCTATAATCCCAGCATCTTCAGAGGATGAGACAGGAGGATTTCGAATTCAAAGCCAGCCTCAGCAACAGTGAGGCCCTAAGCAACTTAGTGAGACTCCGTCTCTAAATAAAATACAAAATAGAGCTGGGGATGTGGCTCAGTGGTTGATGTCCCTGAGTTTAAATCCTGGCTCCCCCCAATCCCCCCAAATTTAATTTTATAACAGGGCACAGTGGTGTGTGCCTATAAACCCAGCAACTCAGGAGGCTGAGGCAGGGGGATTATGAGTTCAAAGCCAGCCTCAGCAATTTATCGAGGCCCTAAGCAACTCAGTGAGATCCTCTCTCTAAACAAAATACCAAAAAGCGTTGAGGATGTGGCTCAGTGTCGAGTGCCCCTGAGTTCCAATACCCGGTAAAAACTAAACAACAACAACAAAAAACATAATTAATTTATACTTAAAGACAAGTTTATTTTTCAGGCTGGATTACTAGAGATATTGCCAAATCTAGTTAAGCAATTTTTATGCTAGTCTCAGGAGCTACAATGGAAGGAATTTAGTGGAAATAGAAAAACTACAGAGATTTTACTAACATATTCTTTTTTTTTTTTTTTTGGTACTGTGGATTGAACTCTGGGGAGCTTTTACTACTGAGCTACATCCCCAGTTCTCTTTAATTTTTATTTTAAAACAGTGTCTCACTGAATTACTTAGGGCTTTTGCTAAATTGCTGAATTGCTAAATTGCTTGCCTTGACTCGTGAGTCATCGGGATTACAGGGAGTGTGCCATCTTGTCAGGCACTACCATATTCATCGTATGGTTCCAAGTGCCTGCTGTATTCCAAGAAAAATCTATAGAGATCATCCCAGCCAAGTGGAGTCCTTATCATTACTTTCTATAAAGAAATGCTGCACTATTAATTATTTAAAACATTTTGAAACTAATCCATTCCTGGCGATATTAACAGGATCAAATCAATTTCTAAGCATTACTTCTCCTTCCTTAAAATTATGTCTAGAAGCCTCTTGTATTAGATATTCTGTAAAATCTCTTGCATTAGATTTTACACTAGTTGCATATGGCACACTGTAATTTAAATGACCTTAAATTTTTACAGAATTCTTATCTAAAATAATAATCTATCACTGATCTATATTTTTATATTCTTTAAAAATCATTCAGTACTTTATGTTTGGAAGCTTTTCAAATCACTGAGATTTTTAGGTTAGTCTATTTATAGCTGGTAAATTCACATTGGCACGTTGCTTTACAGTTTACTAAGCACTACTCTTTTCCTCTGGATTTGCTGCCTCTGTTTGGAGTTCTGAGTGAATGGATCATTCTCTTTTGCCACATCCCACTAGGTAACAATTCTTCATCATGCTGCTTCTGTATTCCCACTGTCCCTACCTCACTCAGGTATTCATTTTTTTCTAACTTGCTTCCCTATCTTTTAAAAAAATTTTTTTTTTAGTTGTAGATGGTCACAATATCTTTACTCATCTTTATGTGATGCTGAGGATCGAACCCAGTACCCTTACACGTGCAAGGCAAGTGCTCTACCAATGAGCTAGCCCCAATCCTGCACTTCTCTTTAGTCTTGAACCTTCAATCCACCTTCCACACACATCTAATCACATTGCACCTCTATTTAAAGGCCTCCAGCAATACTCCTTTTCTTGAAAGATAAAGTGAAAATCTGGTAAATAAAGGCCTCTCATAATCCAGTTCCTCCCTCACTTTTTAGACTAGAAATTCACACTTCTTTTCTACTCCATGTTCCTGTCATTTAAAAATGTTTTTTCTTCAGTTAAAATGGTTTTGCCTCTCTAAATTTTGGTCAAGACATTCTCTTACCTCGGAATGCCAATCCTCAGCCTTCCCCAGTCCATTCCCAACCTGATCCTTTAGACTAACACTATTCAGTGATGAGTCACTTCAAGCACCATTTCTTGACTTCCTTCTCTCCCCACCCATGGGAAGAACTGACTACTCTTTACCAGAGCATTTATAACATTTTAATACTGACATGTCCTCAGCCTGTATTGTTCTATAAGCTATTAGAGGGAGGCTTTAACTGACTTGTTTCCACATCTCAAAGTTAAGTCTGACATGGTAGATGCTCAATTAATATACAAAAAGAAAACAACAGGTGAAATCACTTTTGATATGAGTGCTGCTTTATACAGTATTTTTATTTTCTTCATTTTGCAGGTGAGAAAACTGTAGTAGAATGATTTGCCCTGGGTCTTTAGATTCCAGGTCTTCACATGAAACTTAATGACCACTTCTTGCTATTTCTCATATTCCTTCGAACAAATACACTTTGGTATGAAAAGAAATGTATGTGTATGTACATATACATACATACACAGAGGCAGAAAGAAGGCAAAAAAGAAATATACAATCCTTCTTCAAGCGAAGAATTTAAAGAGAATATCTTAGAAATTATTATCAGAGTGGTTTCTATTTACTATGGCTGAAAGTCCACATTGCAGAACACTGTGGAAACTGAGCCCCCAGAACCAAAGACTTACCCATCCGGAAGTCAATGTAGCCCTCTCCTCCACTGATGACAAGCATAGACTTCAAGGGTGTCTGGCTGCTGGACTCCGGTGCAGATGGTCCTGCTTTATCACCTGTTAAATCTGTGCCACTACTGCCACTTTGTGGGCTAATGACTTGACCTATTTTACACAGGAGCAGAAGTACATATTACTTATATCACAGACGAGGACAGGGCATAGTATTTTATTCTTTCTCTCTGAATTTTTTCAGAGTTAAACAAACTGGCAAATACATGCTCAGTACAAAGTACTGGGGATGCTATAAAGTTCTGCATGATCAGAAAACAATGATTAGAAAGTCATAAGGTCTCAATCTGAAAATCTTTAAAAAAAATTTTTTTTTGTAGTTATAGATGGACAGAATGTCTTTATTTGTTTATTTTTATGTGGTATTGAGCATGGAACCCAGTGCCTCACACATGCTAGGCAAGCACTCTGCCAATGAGCCACAACCCCAGTCATTCAATCTTTCAATCTGAAGAGGAAATAGATCCAAAATCAGTGTAGGATATGTATGGGAAGGCGGGTCTTAGCTGCCTGTTTTCAAATTATTACAATCTCTACCTTCTGGTTTGAGGGACAGTAGAAAGGTCTCTCTCCTGAAAGGAAATGTTTGCATTTGTTTATGAGACAGAATAATCTTCAATTGAAGCCTTATTGATTTGCATATTTAAATTAATACTTAAATTTATTTCAAATCCATGGCCTTCCTTTCATAGTTAAGTATATCTTATTTTTAGTTTAGAGTATATAGATAAAATTGCTAATTGCTCCATTTGTTCTAAAGCTTTAGTTCTACAGTAAAACCCATGATCATGAAATGATAGATAAAAACCTTTAAATGTTATTCACACTGTGAATAAATGAATAGTCTCCAAGGCATCCCTTTTAGAAAGCTTTGACTATATACTTTTTTCTTGCCAGAACCTGCTGTCTTTTGGTCAAACTACCCAGACCATGACTCCAGAAGCTAGCAGGACATTGTTATATGACATGATATACTCTAAATTAAAAAATTAATTTATCTTAAAAAAGTGTATAGGACAAGCCAGGCACAGTGGCACATGCTTGTAATTCCAGCAGCTCAAGAGGCTGAGACAGGAGGATCGCGAGTTCAAAGCCAGCCTCAGCAACAGCGAAGCGCCGAACAACTCAGTGAGACCCTGTCTCTAAATAAAATACAAAATAGGGCGGGATATGTGGCTCAGTGGTGGTCAAGTGCCCCGGAGTTCAATCCCCAATAACCACCCCCCCAAAAAAAGAAAGTGGATAGGACAGTATGATGTATCCCTACAGGGCTTCATTAAGATCTGATTTAAGCATTTTCTAGAAGAAATCAAGCTTATTAGAAATAACTTATATTAGTAGACTAGTTAGTTCTGCTTCAGAAGCAAGGACATGAAGGTATGACAAGGATAAACACGATGGTTGGGGCTGTGGTTGTAGTGCCGCACATGTGAGGCACTAGGTTTGATCCTCATTACCACATAAAAAAATAAACAAAAACAAAACAATGGTATGATAAGGATAACCAAAATTCTTTAATCTTTAGGGCCAACTGGCTTCACATGTACATGTACACACACACACACACACACACACACACACACAGAAATGTTGCCAATTCTACTTTTAAATTTATACCCAATAGAAAAGTCTTATACATATGCATAAGAAGGACCATCATTTTTTTTAAATGTCTTTTTTTTTTTTTTGGTACTTTTTTTTTTTTTTGGATTGAACCCAGGGGGCACTTTGTCACTAACCTTTCTATTTTTTATTTCGAGACAGGGTCTCACTAAGTTGCTTAGGGTCTCTTGCTAAATTGCCGAGACTGATCTTGAACTTGTGATTCTCCTGCCTCAGCCTCCCAAGTTGCTGGGATTATAGAAGTGTGCCACAATGCCTGGCAGTATTTATTTACCTTTTAATGGTATTATGATTTTGGTTTGTATTTTTTTGGGGGTTGGGGGTACCAGGGATTGAACTCGGGACCACATGACCAATTTTGTATTTTATTTAGAGACAGGATCTCACTGAGTTGCTTAGCGCCTCGTTGTTGCTGAGGCTGGCTTTGAACTCACAATCCTCCTGTCTCAGCCTCCCCAGCTGCTGGAATTACAGGTGTGTGTCACCGCTCCCAGCAATGGTATTGTTTTTAATACTGAAAAAATGGGAACAGAAACGCAGCAGCTCATCAATTGGAGAATGAATAAAACCAAACACATTTATTTAGACATGCAAATATTATGATTAAGTAAATAAACTTGATTTTTATGTAAAAACATGGACTTTATATTTTCTAAATTTCTTTATATTTTCTAAAAAAGAAAAAAAAAAAGAGAAAATTCTGTTAGTTGCCTATACACGCATATACATTCTGTACATGCCTATGATCACAGCCACTTGGGAGGTTGAGGCAGGAGGATCCCAAGTCTGAGGCCAGACTGGACAACTCAGCAAAACTCTGTCTCAAAATAAAATTAAAAAGGCTGGGGATATATATATCTCAGTGGTAGTGCTTGTCTAGTATGTGCCAGGCCCCAGGTATCAAGTACCACAAAAACACAGAAAAATCTAAAACACCATTATCACAATGTTCACTCTAGGAATTTATCCTAAGAAAATGACTGAGGCTAGCTTTGAACTCATAAATGTACAAATGAGGTTTCAGGAGGTTCATTATCATGTGAAGAATAATTGAACAACTGGTTGGACTACCATATGCCAGCTCTTGTCTTATGTACATTTAATCATTTAGTCTTTGGAACATCCTTGGGACATGTGATCGTTAATTTTATGCGTCATTTTGGCTAGATCACTGGGTCCAGATATCTGGTCAAATACCAGATATTGCTGTGACAGTATTTTAAAGATATGCTTAATGTTTAAAGTAAAGCCCTTCATTATGTAGGTGGTCTCACCTAATCAGTGAAAGACTTAAAAGAAAAATACTGAGGGCCCCTGACTGGTTTCAGATTTAGATGCAACATCAACTCCTCTCTGGGTCTCTAACCTGCTGGCCTGCCCTACAGATTTCAAATTTGCCAGCCACATGAGCCATTTCCTTAAAAACTCTCTCCACATACCCCCAACTCTCCACACATGTTGGTTTTCTTTCTCTGGAGAACAGTGACAAAAACACAAAAACACTATTATTTCTACGTTACACAAAGTCAGATTTGAACTTTTTTTGGTATAGGGAATTGAAACCAGAGTGCTTTACCCTGAATTATATCCCCATACCTTTTAACTTTTAATTTTAAGATAGGACATCACTAAATTGCTGAGGTTGGCCTTGAGTATGCAATCCTTTCCACGTTTCTAAGATTACAGACCCGTGCCACTGCATCCTGGCTCAAATTTGAATTATATCTAACTCCTAAACTTCCCTTTTAGGAGAAAAAAAGTTAAAAAACATGGGTGAGTAACATAATTTTTAGTATTCCCAATGGACAGAACTTTTTTTTTTCCCCTGAATATCACTACTACCATGTTGTCTGAATTGTGTTTTACAAATTCAAATGGAATTTTCACAAAAAAAGGAAGTGGGTAGGCATCCATTCAGGAGACAAGGAAACAACTATCAGAGGTTTAAGTGACTTGCTCAAGGTGAGTGATGGAGAAAGAGAACCCACATTCCCAGGCAACTAGCTCATCCTTAATACAACACTGCTAAAGGCGCCAGAGCACATTCCCCATTTCTTCTTGCATGTGGTCTGGATGACAAGAGGCTAGTGATTTCCTTCATAAGTCAAGACTATCTTTGGCAGTCTATGTGGCAGATTGCCCCTGCTTTTCAAAAGTAAGCAAGTATCTTAAATAAAAACCAAGGAATTTGGTTTTGGGGGGGTGGGGAGAGATTGCAAAATAACTTCATTCAAGTACCCTATAGCACTTTTATCATACGTCATCATAGAACTTCTTTCATGTGTTATATTGAAATTGCCTATAATTCTAGTACTTAGCTTTAGAGTAGGTGGTGGAACCAAGAGACCTAAAAGCAACATCTCAATGGAATAATCTAACTTACCTGGGACTGCCACAAAGAATTTCACAGCATCCCGGTGTCCATGGAAGCAAAGCTGTGCATGTGCCATTGAACAATAGGGTATAAATGTTCCTGGAGTCACTTTATCGCTGTTTTCATCACCATATACACGGATTACACTGCCAGGACGATTTCCTGTTGCTCCTGAGGTTTTATTTGCTGCAATTAAAAAAAAAAAAAAAAATCAAATGCCAACTATTTTTTCCTAGAAGACAGTAATAATGCAAGAGGTTACTGGTTAATCCTTATGATATTATCTAAAAGCTACAGCCAGTTGAGGTAAAACAAGGGCAGCAACGCCAATTCAAGGCAAAGCTGGAAAAAAAGAGATACATAGCATGCTAGTTATTTTTAAGTACCTCAGTAAATGGAGTAGGGGATTTTGCCAGTCTAGCAACTAAACTTATGTTTTAAACACATCAATTGATTTTTTAAAAAATCAGTTTAATTATCCAAAGAAAATGGATTTGATTCTTAGGTGTATCTGTTTGGTTTATTTTTTTTTAAGTCCTCATTAAAGGAATCTAACTATTATGTAGTCTAATAGTTTTTCTTCTTATTTTTCTCCCCCCTGGTAAGAATATGTCCCTTGAGAGGGATGGGAAATGCTGTTTAATAGAATCCAGCCACAAACACAGAGTAGCTTCACTTACATCAGACTAATGGTTTGCTGGGTTACTACAGAACAACCAGACTCACAAAACATCCCCATTCCACCAGTAAGTGAATGAAAGAAACATGGTTGGTAACAAGAGTAAACAATGTAGATTAATAACAGTTTTAAGACATGTTTCATGTTTTTATTGGAAGGAAAAACAAAGTCTGAAAGAAAGTTCAGCTGCAACAAAAGATGATAAATACACTAAGCTGCTGAGCAGTTGGTGGCCATGTAACAAACGTTAAAAAAAAAAAAAAAAGTCTGCTGCAAGGCAGTGACTACGAGTGGGTGACATTGAAGAACATTCAAAAGAGTTTCTAGAGAAGAGGGAACAGCCTCACAGTGGCTGAGAAGCCAGAAAGAAGAGTTTGGTTCAGGATCTGCACTTACCCCTCAGCCCCAGTAAACGTCCCTGGTGGAGGATTACGGCTAAAGTGAGAAAGGAGGAAAGGGGACATGGAGAGGCGCATGACAGGGAGGAGAGGCATTACTGTGAGCCATCACTCTGAGCATCTTCTATCTGGTCCCCAACAAAATTAATAATATCCAACTTGGCATAATACCAAGTAACAAAGTTCTCACCAATGCCTCTACAGAACATCTCTGCTCAAAAAGCACAATTTGATTTACTATGATTTTGATTTCTTTAATCATAAAGCCACTTTTGTATATCCAAATAAAAATCCAAGAGCTTGATGTGAAATATTTCCTAACTGCTAAAATTTCCCCTTTATTTTTTCTTCTCTTCTGTGTATTTTAAAAAGAAACTAATTTAAATACATTAAAATGCAACTCCCATGAAGAATTGGAATGAAACCCAAGGATCCTGGACTATTTAGGATATGAAAAGCAATATGAATACATAGACTTGTAAGTCACTGAAGAAGATACACTTGGGATCAAGAACTTGAGTTCTTTCAAGGCTCCAAATTCTCCTTCTAGTCCTCTTTCCTCCCCTTTCCCTAAGAAGGGGTAGGGTGACTGTAACTCTGAGGTCTGTATTTATTAACTTATCTTATGGTATTTTTTTTCCCAAAACCATTCCCTGCTCATGAATTCTGCAACACAAAAACACTTAATGCATGACTGATGTAATGGAACATCACATGAGAAATACACAAGGCACACTTTGCTCACAAAAATAATAAATCAAATTATTTTCAAGCAGAAGTTTTTTTTTTTTTTTTGTACAAAGAAAGGCTTGCTGACCTCTTGAGGAACTTCTTCCACAACTTTTTTTAAGCCTCAAATACAAGAAATGGGACATGCTGGACTATTTACTGGCCTAGGAGATAGAAAACTACGACAAACAATAGGCAGTGTTCATGGATACTGGTATACTAAAACTGAAGAAAACTGGACTTAAACTTTTATTTCAAAAACAAAATAGGGCTGTGATTCCTGAAATGAGAAAAAGAGCTTCTTACAATGAAAAACTTAATTCTGAAACTGGTCCTGCTCTTCTCTCTCTAGAGTTTATACATTTCATACAAAGAGTGAAACATCAGCTTGATTTTCTGAGTTACTACTTATTTGACAATATCTAAACAATCCCTCTATCTGTGTGTTCTGGACATGATTATTTTCTACAATTCTCCTATTTGTCCTGTGACAATTATCTAAAAATGTACTTACTTTCTGTCAATGGGATGGAGATAATGACACCATTTCCTGTCCCCACCCACAAACGATTGCAAGACACCATAAGAGCTGTAATCCTCACAAAAGAGAAGCCCAATTTTCCAGTACCTGTAAGGGGGGTGGAAAGGAGTACATTTTACTGAGAAACCAAAGCAGACCAAGTTTTAGATTTCAAATCCCTTAGAATAGGTGGATTAATACAACAGAGGAAAAAAAAATGTGACCAGAGCTAGATGAATGTTTGCTGAAGGTGCACATCAAAGCAAACTCTTATTAGCCTTATCATCAATCTGACAAGTCAGGGTTAATGGAAAAAGAAAATTCTAAAAGTACCTGGCATTATATTATCATCCAGAAGGAAGGTACGCAGGAAATAAGATATATCAGGAAATATGATACAGAATTTAATTAGGGATCTACAAAACCCCAACAAAAAAACAGTTTACTAGTTTGGGAAATCAAATGTCCTTTGGTTTTACAAGCTGAAGAATTTTGATTTGCTTTAAATTTGTGTGGATAAAAACAATCTTTGCTAACAAAATTTATACTTTTTCCTTTGTTTATAAATTTAGATTCTAAAGTAGTTTAGATATATTAGGATATCATCTATAAATAATTTAGGGAGAAAGAATTTTTTTTATTTTAAAAGAATTTTATAATTATAATAATTTTATGTAATTGTATAACTTATTTTCAAAAGAAACTAATTTAAATACATTAAAATGCAACTCCCATGAAGAATTGAAATAAAACCCAAGGATCCTTGACTACTTTAGGATATGAAAAGCAATATGAATACGTAAACTTGTAAGTCACTGAAGAAGATACACGGTTATCAAAATGATTAAATAGATAATACACTGAAGACAAATACCATAAATCACTCATAAATTCTACTCATAAGAATTTGAGGGCCTGATCATAGAATCAGTGTAGAAAGGAACTTTTAACTCTGATTCAGCCTAAGCTGGGAATCTTTAACCTATAGTCAAGAGTACATCTTTATAGTTAGAGTGTTTGTTTCCACATGCCTGACTATAGGGCAAGGAAACACAGTTGAGTCATGTTCTCCTAGGGCAATGATTCTAAAAGGCTAAAAGCCACTGATCTGGCTCAAACTTTCTTCATGAAATAGTCCTTTATGATATTCCAAATAAAAATACAGCACTGGATTAGGTGCTAAAAATACAGCAGAGCACAAGACAGAGATGATCCCTGCCCTTCACAGGGGTTACAGTCTATGGAGAAAGATAGTAAACAATAACCACGTAATACCCATATAAGCACAATGATAAGCCTGTGAAGAAAAACGACCCAAATAGAGATCTTTTCTGAATTGGACACAGGCTATGACCTGAAAGCTAAGTAAAAAAGAGAACAAGAAGAACTTGCTACAGCATATGTGAGGGCCCCAAATGGGAAAGCACTTATTGAGCTGAGGGTCAGTGTGAGCAAAAGAGAGTCTGAAAGGAAAGTGGTCCAGACCACGTAAAGTCTTCTGCTTATGGGACAAAACGTCACCTCCCTTAAAGAGAAGAGTGGAGGAGTATCAGGGCAATTTTTGCAAGCTGGTTTCTATGCAGAAAACAGACAGTGGAAACAGGGAGATCAGTTAGGAGGTACATGGTTATCAAGTGGGGAACATGGTAGAGATAAAGAACTGATTTAAGGTCTATTTAGATTTGACAGAGTTCTTGGCGATGGACTGGAGGTAGAAAGCATGAGAGGAGTCAAAGACATTCTTAAGCTTTGGTCAAGAACCACAAGGTCAACTGGAACATCTGCTGAATACTTTCAATAATAAGAATTCACCATTCCTGGGAAACTTATTCACTGGTCTACTTAGATCATGTTTATAAATCAGGGTTGGGAATGTAGCTCATTTAAACATAAATCAGGTTGGGAATGTGCTTTCCCTAGCATGTGCAAGGCTCTGGGGTCAATCCCTAGCACTGCAATCAATCAATCAATCAGTCAGTCAGTCAATCAATAGGGCTGAGGATGTAGCTCAGTGGTAGAACATCTGCCTATCATGCCCAGAGCCCTGGATTTGATCCCCAGCACCACAAATAAATAAATAAACCTTCTCTTTCATTGGCAAAGAGAAAATGCTATGGAAGCTTACCTAACATTTTGCTTACATAAGGCTCAATGTCCACATCCTGTAGATGTTGGTAAGTGTGTGCATGATAGAGACGAAGTGTGGAATCCAAACGAATGGAGACCCACACACCGTCACCCACCCATGCAAGCTGCCGCACTTGGCTCTCCTTCCTGGGATGTGCATCAAATGATTTCTAGGAGAGATGTTCAGTCATAGTTACTTTGTTACATAGAAGGTCATGTTTAAAAACTCTGCTAATCTGGACAACAATTTGGAGACTATTCATTAAAAGAGGAGCCTAGGGGCTGGGGTTGTGGCTCAGTGGTACAGCGTTCACCTAGCATATGCAAGGCCCTGGGTTCGATCTTCAGCATCACATAAAAATAAATAAATAAAATAAAGGTATTTTTTTTTAAAAAAGGGGAGCCTAGTTATCTTAATATGATTACCCTCATATACACAATTTCTTTCATCTTGAATGCAAAATACACATATACATAAACAAAATAAAAATTAAAAGGAGAATAAAGAATCAAATGGCATTGAGCTTTAGCACTGTAGACAACGTAACTTTATGAAAGTAATGCTGGTACCTCCATACTGTGTGACAGTGTTCAACAGAAAGATTGTGACTCTCAGGATTTTGTGTTGCTATAGAATAATAAATGAAGCAATATTCTATTTATAATTAAACAAAAAGGAATCCACAATGTTGTATAAAAAATAGAGATGAAAAATAAATAACATTTTGGAACTTCCAGAAAGGGAATGGGATTTGGGGCTGGGAGGAGAAATTTCACCTTAAAAAAATTTTCCTGCTATAAATAGCTTTTAAAAAAACCTATTAATAATAAATTTATATATTGTGTCAAAAACATTTTAGGAAAGCAATAATACGAGCCTTTTGTTTTTACAACAAATTCTCACTGTAATGCTATTTCTCAGTTTGTGATATACATGAGGATGTGCCTGGATTTACATGGAGTGGTGTGTGGAAACTTGGGAATCCTCTCAACCAATCCTTCCATAGTTAAACGATCATGCATCAAGTATTCAAATAAAACACACATACATCTATGGATATAAACACAGGCATACTTTTAACATTCATGTGTGAATCTTCTTTAAAAAACAACAAACAAAACAAAAAACCCCACCCATTTCCCAACCTTATAGTCAAAAGAGGCAAAAGAGCTGAAATATCACGGAAAGCTAAGACATCCAAAAATAATACTAATGTGTCCCTAAAACACACAGATTCAGAAAACAATCTCTATAGAAACTGAAAAAAAAAAAAAATAGTCTTCTAGTCTTTGGATAATACAAATTCACAAAGTACAAAAAAAAAAAAACAGGTTTAAACTTGCCTCTATTTTCATGGCCTTTGGCTGAACCACATAGATTTTGTTTCTGTAGCCACACCAGACTTTGTCGTGTACCACAGTCATACATCGTATGGAATGGTGGGGCCGTCCAAGGTCTAAGAGATGATAGTTTGATAAGTCCCACTGTCCGTCTTGAAGATAAGAAAAAATTTATAGTTAATAATGCATATTACCTCTGATTGATAAAGCACTCAAATTGTGTGTATTGAGTAAACCTTTTATCTTATCCATACACTGCAAAATTCAAAGCTATCTCAAAGGTCATTTAATCCAACCAGCCACTCAGTACTTGGGGCCTCTTTAAAACATGTTTTCTGGTGGATGTGGTGGCACACATCTATAATTTTAGCTATCTGGGAGGCTGAGGCAGCAGGATTGCAAGTTTGAGGACAGCTGTGGAAACTCAGTGAGACCCTGTCTCAAAATAAAATAAAAGGGGTTAGGGATGTAGCTCAGTGGTAGAGTAATTGCCTACCATACATGAGGTCCTGGGTTCAACCCCCAGTATTACAAAAAAATTAAAGTCAATAAGCTGGGTGTGGTGGTGCATGCCTATAACCCCAGCAACCTGGGAGGCTGAAACAAGAGGATTACAAGTTTGAGTCCAGCCTCAGCAACGCAAGAGAGATTCTGTCTCAAAATTAAGAAGGAAAAAAAAAAAAAAAAAAGCAAGGGATATAGCTCAGTGGCAGAATGCCCCTGGGTTCAATTTCTAGTACCAAAAAATAAATAAATAAAAGTAAATGCTTCCCAAAAGCAATGATGTGATAAATTAGTTACAACTTGTTATGATGTTTTTAGAATTAGAACAAACTTTAAAACTAGTGTGTAGCTCAATGGTAGAGTGCTTGCCTTACAATCCCTAACACCAAAGAGAGAGAGAAAAAGACAGAGAGACAGAGACAGAGACAGAGGGAGCACATGTGAAAATGAATTTAAGGTTATTTTGGGGATAATATCTGATGGGCATCTTGATGTATTTTCCTGAGTAGAAGATGAGGGCAATTCATTCTCACACTTTAGTAATTGTGAATATAGTATGAGTATTCTTAATCTGAAAATCTGAAATCCAAAATATTCCAAAATCTAAAACTTTTTGATTGCCAACATGACTAGTATGTAACCATCCACTGGTCCATATTTTGCCCAGTTAAACAGAATCAATACAGTCCTAATTTCTTTGTTAAGCTCTGTCTTGTCTTTTCAACATCAAGCATGTTTTTCTTTTGGTACCAGGGATTGAACTCAGAGGCACTTGACCTCTGAACCACATCCCCAGTCCTATTTTGTATTTTATTTAGAGACAGGGTCCCACTGAGTTGCTTAGCACCTCACTTCTGCTGCTGGGGTGGCTTTGAACTTGGGATCCTGCTGCCTCAGCCTCCTAAGCCGGTGGAATTACATGTGTGCACCATTGCACCTGGCTCAACATCAAGCATCCTTTGAATGATGTTTGTACCTTTCACAGTTTACAGATCTTTATCTTAATTCTCCTGTGTTGATACCCATTGCATAAGTTATTTGGTCAAGCAAAGCAGGATCACCATAAGCACTCTTCTGTACACTTTATTTCTATGAAGTTTAAAATGTTAATTACCTCCTATTGAGTTTATAGTTAACCTTCATGTAATTCTCACTCTTCAGACATGTCTTTCCCATCTTGCTCTTCTGATATCAAATGTAGGACTTTGTGCTGGTCCTTAACTAAATAAATGTATTTTGTCTTATTCTATCAATATAATTTTAGATTCAGTTTATTCAAAATATTTATTATGTGATTATTTTCTAGGCTCTTTTACTTAACTAGTTGAGGGACCATGAATAAACAGGTAACTAAAATGCTCTGCACCTCAGTTTCCTAATCTATAAAACAAGGATAACAATAGAATATTGCTCATAAGATGTTGTGAGGAATAAACAGAAAATTTCATAAAGGGCCTCTGAAATAAAATAGGACCCTATCTCTTTGATAACATGGAGTTATTAACCAGCAATATCTAGGTACTGTTTGGTTACAAAGGTACCTAAGTATCAGCTACCTAACATATCTCTAAGCTCAAAAAGATATATGAGATTTTGAGAAAGTGCTTTGATAAAACTCAAAAGCAGTGTATAATATTTCCCTGATCTACCACCCTACTGGGTAGGAAATGAACTATCATTTTTGGTTGACACATGTACAAAGGAGTGATAAAGTGATACATACTCAATTCTCTTAATCTAACCCATTCAATATAAGTTTTCTGATACCATCACCCCTTCACCTGAAGTGGCAAAAACAGTGGCTTTAAAGGGGAATATAACTGAGTATGATGGCACATGCCTATAATCCCAGTTACTTGGGAGGCCAAAGCAGTAGGATGGCAAGTTCAAGGCCAGCCTGGGTAACTTAGTGAGACCCTGTTTCAAAATAAAGAATGAAAAGGGTTGAGGATGTAGTTCAGTGGTAGAGTATCCTTGGGTTTTCTCAGTATCAATCAATCAATCAAATAAAATAAAACAGAAATATAAGATATAAAAATATTAAACCTTAAAAAAATAATTTTTAATAAAAACTTAACAAATATATGCCAGGTGCAGTGGTGCATGCCTGTAATTCCAGCTGCTAGGGAGGCTGAGGCAGGAGGATCCAGAGTTCAAAGCCAGCCTCAGCAAAAGTGAAGTCCTGAGTAACTCAATGAGACCCTGTCTCTAAATAAAATACAAACTAGTGCTGGGGATGTGGCTCAGTGGTTGAGTGCCCCCGAGTTCAATCCCTGGTACCCCTCTAAAAAAAACAAATAAACAACAACAACAACAAAACTTAACAAATATAAGTAGATGCATATCATTTTTAAGCAGGACAAATGAAAAAAATAATACTCACAAAACTTCTTTCTAGTAAATGTATAAATGCAAAACAAAAGCCTCCATATTTATTATATGAGTACCAGAAAATGCTAAACTACTTGCTCACTATGGTAAATATATTTTCCATGAGTCATACTGCTCATGCATATCTCCATGAAGACATTCGTATTTACTGATGTTTATTAAGTATCACGTCTTTAAAATATTACTAGCTGCAAAGGGCATTGGCGCACACCTGTAGTCCCAGTGACTCAGGAGACTAAGAGAGGAGTATCACAAATTCAAGGCCAGCCTTGGCAATTTAGCAAGGCCCTAAGCAACTTAGGGAGACCCTGCATCAAAATAAAAAAAAGTTTATTTTTTTAAACTATAAAAGATAAAGCTTATACATTATCTATTCATAACTCACCAACTCCTCTGTGAAAGATTGCGAGGGTGCCATCAGCCAGGGCCACTAACACAATTCCTTTCACGTGTCTGCAAACAGGAAAAGAGATTTCAGAATCTCTACTGAGGAAAAACCACATGCCACTGCATTAGTGCTGAGCCTTTCAAAGCACCATTATATGACAAGATAAGGAGATTACACAGAACATAAATGAACATACTTTTTCTTCTTTTTTTTTCAGTGCTGGGGATTGAACCCAGGGATGCTCTATCACTGAACTAGATCCCCAGATCTTAGGTTTTATTTTGAGACAGGATCTTGCTAAGTGGCCTGGAACTTGCAATCCTCCTGCTTCGGGCTCCCAAGCCACTGGGATTACAAGCCTATACCACCATGTCCTGCCACACTGCTTTCTTCATTGTGAATGTCTTGCTATGCAACAATGTCGTCTGAACTAAATAAACGGCATGTGTGCTATCTCAATTGTTTCACTTTCTAGGCAAACCTCTTTCTCTCACTGCAGATAGTCAAGATGATTCTACAAGTCAAAAAACACACTCTTTGAGTGGAACTAACAGAGTCACTCAACTGAGAGATAAACTGTCAGATCTTTGATAGCCAACATATAGAAAAGAACTAGCAAAATAATCCCCCAACATACATATTCACAAACTATAAGGAATATTGCAAACAAACAGAAATTAATAAGCACTGATTCTCTCCTGGAAATACTGAAGAACTCCCAGTATGGTGACAAATCAATCTGCCAAGTTAAGGTTTTCCTTCTACATAAAAGTTTTCTTTTTTATTTTCTATTATAGACTTTTTCACTCTAAAATCTAGTTTATACCAAAATATGTAGTTTTTCAAGGAAGAATTTCAAAAATAAAACTTACACAATACTGAGAATCGAATCTTTAAGTTTAATGGAATGGAGGCATTTCCTCCACTGGGCTACAGATGAATGGACATACAAACTGCAGAAACAAAGTGAAGACTGGTAAGGCATAGAAAATATCACATTGTTGCTTATTTCTAGTAGTGACCACAAAATTCAATCAAGAGGAAAGAAGAGGACCATTCAGATTTGACATAAAGGTGCTGCTGCTTTTATGCAATAGTCAAAAAACAAAAATGAGAGTCAGGGTTAGCTTCAGAGAAATAGGCTGCTCAAGCAAAAAGAAACAACTGGAGTCTGAAAATCATTCAGACTAGTGTTTAATGTTGGAGTATCAATTAGCTTCAACTAACTTCAGCTTGCCCCACAAATTTTTAGCTAAAACCCTTGAATTATCTTAAACTGTCTGCTACTTTTAGGTGACAGGGTGGTGCACATCAGAGAGTGGCTAGCTTAGTTTAATTCATTTGATACAGGTTTTCTGATATGATCACTCCTGGCCAAACCCAGCCTGCCACTTTAGTCTGAAAACTAAGAAGTTTTTCTCTTTTTAAATGGTTAGAGGAAAAATTAAGAGAATTTTGTGACATGTGAATTTGAAATGGAATTTAACTTTTAGTGTCCAAAACGTTCTATTAGAACACATTTACACATGTTTGCTGATCCCTCCTTTTATATTAGACCCCTGTGGAAAAGACACACAAGTGATCCTGCTCAACCTCTAGAAACGCACAGGTTTGTAAGATTCTCTACAATATTAGAAAATGAACAAGCCTTGTAATGTTAGTTATTATCCTCTGAGCTTTCAAACTATGATTTTTTTCTGTTTTTTCTAGTACATGCTTGGGATTGGGCTTTCCTGAAACCAGACACATTAGTTCAATCAATAGTATTTCTTGCCAACATAAACCTATGTACACATTCTATACATCCATAATTCTTTATTTTTGTGCTCTTCAGGATCTTCTAGAGAACCCAGACTTTAAAATCTTATTTACCTCTTCTCCTAAGAATATTATTTAAAGAGAATACTCTATAGCAAAAATAATATAGTTTACCTTTCATAACCAATCCAAGTTCAGTTTGTGAACAAAACTTGAAATTTTTGTGTATACCAAATTCTTTGTATTAATATACACTTTGTGTTTACACCATTTTATTCATTTTTCTTCTGCTTTCAAAAGTAAAAGTAAAGGATTAAATATACTGTCATAGTCAAAGTGCTGGCACTTACCAGCCATTTTGAGCTCCAAGCCACATGGTTGGTAAAAGACTACTCATTTTCTGAGCTTCTTCTCTCACCAGGTCTTGTTCATTTGGCAATACTGATACTTGATCTTTATACACATCTGAGTCATTACTGTGAAAGAGGGAACAAGAAAAAAATTAGTACACTTACCTATGATTTTTAGGGGACTGAACATTTCTATATAATGTGTGCATTTTTTAAAATTTTTTAGGTGGACACAATATCTTTATTTTTATAAGGTGCTGAGAATCGAACCAAGTGCCTCACACATGCCAGGTGAGAGCGCTACCACTTGAGCCACATCCCCAGCCCCTATAATGTGTTTTTAAAAAGTTTTTATTTATCTTATTTTTTGTGGTACTGAAGATTAAATCCAGGATCTTGCTAGGAAAGTGCTCTGATACTGAACTTTCTTTTGTTGCTGTTGTTAAACTTTGAGTCTTGCTAAATTGCCTAGGCTTGTAACCTATACGCCTGAGCCTCCCAATCAGCTGGGACTATAGGTGTGCTCCATCATTCTGACTTCTACATTTAAGTTTATCACTGGTCTTAAAAAAAAAAAAAAAAAAATTGAACAGTAAAATTCCAAAAAGCCAATGTTAAATAGTTATATTAAATATTTCAAGCTGGGTGCAGTGGCACACGCCTGTAATCCTGTGGCTTGAGAGGCTGAGGCACAGGATCCCGAGTTCAAAGCCAGCCTCAGCAAAAGCGAGGCACTAAGCAATTCAGTGAGACCCTGTCTCAAAGTAAAATACAAAACAGGGCTGGGATGTAGCTCAGTGGTCAAGTGCCCGTAAGTTCAATCTCTGGTACGAAAAAAACAAAAAAATTCAACAAGTATACCAAAAACGTTAACCCAGGAGTTTTAAAGTGCAGATAAGGGAGTAAGACATGGTAATGAAATTCAGCAGATAATGCACAGATTATAATTATGGGTCTCCTTTATAGTTATTTTGAATTTTACAACAGTTTCTTCTGGGGAGGAAAAGATACACACACACAAAAATTAAAAGAGTTTTCTAAAGGAAATTAAGCTGAAATATGCTTGTATTCTAACATAAAACTTTTCTTTTAAATTGTTAGGAAAAATTAAGTAAAGGATATAACTGGACTACCAAATTAAAAATGTGACTTTATTCTAAATTAACAATTAAATGTTAATGAATGATTTGTTCTGGTTTGAATGTTAGTAGACTTTTGGTTGCTCTACACACTGAGAAAAAATTCAGTTTCAAAAGACCCTCACCTAAGGGCTTCTAGAGAAGGCAAGAAAGAAAATGAAATAATTTACTAAATGGGACTAAATTAACCAACGCTTTAAAGGAAAAGCCTGTTTTCTAAGAAAATGTTTATATGATAACTAAATTCAGAAAGGTCATTCAAGCTCATGTGATGGGAGTATGAGTGAGAATGGGGATGGGAATTTAAACGACCAAGAATTAATAGTAGAATGGAAAACATAATATAATTTAAAAAGACAAAAAACAGGAGAATATGACCAGGAAGAGTTTGAATTGATGGACAAGATTTTTTTATATTGGAAAATACCCAGAAGAAATGAAGGGAAAAAAGTATCCAAAGAGAATGAAGAGAAAGGAAAAGATGAAGATACAGCAGGAACAGGCAATAACATCATTCAGACCACAACACTGATGCCAATTAGCAGGAATGTTTTGGCTACTTGAGGTTATTGTGGTTCCTTTTAGTTGTGCTCTTTACCCAGTTTTCTAAGTTAGTGACTTAGGAAGTATACCTTGACTGATAGACTGGAGAGAGGTCTTCTGGGAGCTGAACTCCTAAAGGATCTGTAAAGACATGCTCTGTGTATACACCAGGCTGGGAGATGTCCACAGTGTCTTCAGTGGATCCTGCATTGCCTTCTGTGGCTTCAGTTGCTTCTTCTGCTGTTGGAACATTTTCATCAACCTCACTATTTTCCGCTTCCATTTCTATAAAATATATAAAGCACTCTGAGTTTGAACTTTTCCACGCCAATGCTTTCCCCACACAAATTCCTGCTATGGAACTCCACTCCATTGATCCTCTCTTTGCATTGTATTATGGAACTGAGCAGGTAACAGTCAATATGGCATCTTCTTCGCAGCTCTTTCATTGCAAATTTAGGATCAACAAGTCCCTAATGAGGCATCTGGGATAGGATCAAACTCCACAACACATGGCAGGTAAGAGCAGACATACCTGGTGGTTTGTCTATCACTGGTGAAGCACCATTGGTACTAGGAGAAGTGGCAGTTCCTGTCACACCTTCTGTGGAGCAACCAACCACTGTGATGCCTCCCAACAAGCTATCTGTTTCTGCTGAGCTGTTGCTTGTCATGCTTCCACATAAAGATGCTTTGTCCACCTGACCAGATTCTGAAAGTTCTTCTCCTGCAGGATAGTCTGTTTCTCGGGCTCCTGGAAAATAAGATAAACTTTAATAGTTAAGTAAACTCCTATAAACAGCACTTCCCCGCCCCCATTAGTCACTTGAAGCTTAAGGTGAAAATGTGCAGGTGATATACATTGCAAAACTGGTAGCATTAAAAATAGGAAATTGACTGAAAAAGTAAAATAATATAGCTAAAACTAATGAAAATTTAAAAATATAAAAAATATAGCTATTAAGGCGAGTGCACATAAAAAACATGAAATGTCATGTTCTTTTTTTTTAGAGAGAGAGAATATATATATATTTTTTAGTTTTCGGTGGACACAATATCTTTATTTTTACTTTTTATGTGGTGCTGAGGATCGAACCCAGCACCCCGCGCATGCCAGGCAAGCGCGCTACCTACCACCTGAGCCACATCCCCAGCCCCCAAAATGTCATGTTCTTAAGTAACTCCTTACCAGCCATGTGAAGTTTAAAACAGTCTAACAGTATGTGATATCAAGCCAGCAAAAAAAAAAAAAAAAAAAGTTTTTTTTTTTTAAATGAATGAGATTACTATTTGAAATATGGACTATCTATTACTATTAAAAATTAAAACCCTGCTGGATGCTGTGATATACGCCTATAATCCCAGATACTCAGGAGGCTGAAGCAGGAGAATCACAAGTTCAAAGCTAGCCTCAGCAACTCAGGCCCTAAGCAACTTAGCAAGACCCTGTCTCAAAATAAAAAATGAAATGGGCTGGGGATGTGACTCAGTGTCCTTGAGAGTTCAATCCCCAGTACTAAAAAAAAAAAAAAAGAAAAAAAAAAGAAAGGCCCCTAAGTATATATATACATAGTGCCTTAAGAGATTAATACATTTAAAAATTAAGCATTTACAATATAAAAACAAACCTTCTCAGCTTTATTTAGAAGATTTTTTTTTTTATTCATGTAATACCAAAAATTTAACTATAATGAAAAGTACAACCAGGCGCAATGACACACACCTGTAATCCCAGTGGCTTGGGAGAGTGAGGCAGGAGGATTCTGAGTTCAAAGCCAGCCTCAGCAAAAGCAAGGTGCTAAGCAACTCAGTGAGACCCTGTCTCTGAATAAAACACAAAGTAGGGCTGGGGATGTGGTTTAGTGGTCAAGTATCCCTGTGTTCAATTCCCAGTAGCACTCCCCACAAAAAAAATACAAGTCAGTGTCATTATTTACATTCACAATGTTGTGTAGCTATCATTATTATCTATTTCTAGATTTTCCATCATACCAGATTATATATATATATATTATATATATATATATATTTTTTAAGTTATAGGTGGACACAACATCTTCATTTTATTGTTATGTGGTGCTGAGGATGGAAGCCAGTGCCCTATGCATGATAGATGAGCGCTTTACCTCTGAGCCACAACCCCAGCCGCAGATTTTTTTTTTAAATACTGGGGATTGAACCAGGTGTGCTTTACCACTGACCTACATCCCCTGACCTTTTTATCTTTTTTGTTGAAACAGGGTCTCATTGTAAGGATGTTATGGACTTTTAATTTTTTTTAATTTATTTACTTTTTTTGGGGGTACCAGGGATTGAACCCAAGGGCATTTACCCACATTCCCAGCTCTTTTTAATATTTTATTTAGAGACATGGTGTTTGCTGAGTTGCTCAGGGTCTAACTAAGTGCCTGAAGCTGATTTTGAACTCTGCCTCAGCCTCCTGAGTCACCGGGATTACAGGGTATGTGTGACTGCACCCAGCCCTTTTAATTTTTTTTTTTTTTAATTTAAACCTTTATTTTATTTATTTTTTTATGTAGTGCTGGGGATAGAACCCAGGGCCTCACAAATCCCAGACAAGCACTCTGTACCACTGAGCCACAACCTCAGGCCCCCTTCTAAATTTTTTAACAAATGTCTTAACATCATATATTTAATTCAGAATATTAGAACACCTTCCTTTATTATTTAATATAAATAGCACCCTGTCCTTTGACTCCCATTTATCTTCTCATATTTTATTTTCTTCACAGTATTTTCACCATCTGAAAATATCTTGTTTATTCAAGAGTTTCTAGTTAATTTTTGGTTTTCCCCAACTAGAACTCCATGAGAGCTAGGCAGCCAAATGCAATCCTGCCTGGAAGCAAGTGTAGAGAATGGGAAGAGAGGGAAGAGAAGAGAGATACAAGACTCATTCTTACCTGGGACACTTGCAATGCAAAGAACGTGAGAATTGCAAACAGTGAAACTGTCAAGGATGTTGCCTGGTTGAATAGCATCAATGATGATAACTTTTGTAGCTGAATGAGTGCTGGTACAGATCCAGACTTGACTGGATAATTCTTCATGACTTTTTAACTCCTTCTGCTGTTCCTAAGTAGGCAAAATGAAGAGAATGAATGTTTAAGATCATAAATATGTGCAAATATTCATAAAGCTGTGCTATTACAATAAAAGGTAATATTATTTCAAATTTATTTCCAGGTAATTTGGGAAGGTAAAAATACAACCACTTGTCAGTATCAATTACTAGACTAAAAAGTAGTAGTTAAAGTGGATCAATGATTAAAACACTTTATATCTTGATTGTAGTGGTGGTTGCATAGGTGTATACTTTTGGCAAAACTCTTTGGACCATAGTCATTTCAAGGATATGCTTGATTATATATGAATAACACCTCAAAAAAAATTGGTTTTAAAAGGGTAATGGGGGATGGTAAGGAAGGGCATAGTAACCACAACTTAAAAAAACTTGTACCCAGAAGTAAATTTTGGATCAAAAAGCTAAACTAATAGTTTCGTAAACACTTACCTTAAGTTCCTGATCTAACTTATCTAAACTACTCTGAGATGCACTTCGCTGTTTGCTGCCTTCAGTATCCAAACCAGCAACATCTTTGTAAAATACACTTGCTCCAACAACAGAACCACCATCTCTGGTCTTCCCACCAGATAAATTGACTCCAACAGCACACCACAGCTTCTCAGATAGAAAAAAAAAAAAAAACGTATTATTGTAATTTTCTCTCTAAAAATGCTTAAAGTGGTTCCTTTTCTTAAAACAACTAAGGGTGGTAAATTAGACATTTAATACACTCTAAGACGACAAAATGAATAATAATCTCACTGAAGAAGCAGTGTTTAAACTTTTCTGGTTTTATGAGGAAAGAAAATCTATCTATCTAAAGTTTAGGGAATACCTGCTTTAGCTTCACAATTAGCTTACCTTCATGGATGCATCTTTTTCATCTAGAGGTCTGAGATAGACAGGCACAGGCAAATTTTTCATCTTATTTTCCCCTTGACCATTGGTTACCTAATGGGGTGGGGGAAAGCACAAATTGGTAAGTCTTATCAAAAGTAAACTTCTAATAGAATCACTGAGACATGGGCAGGCAATGCTGTTATACATTTGCTCCCTGAAATCAAATTCAGGTTCATTTTGCTATTCTTATTTGAAAAGTCATCAGAAAATCAAGTTGCAATTAAAAGAAATAAACAGGATACTAGGATACTATTAGTGCTCAGAACAAAGGCACTAATTTTCACATATATACACATGTGTGTACATGTGTATATACAAATGTGCTGAGTCTCTTAGGGGTATGGAATATGAAGTAGAAAAATTCTTGAAAACCTGAACTAGGCTTTAGTTAATTTGAAAGGCTGGACGCCACTGACTTCTTACACCTTTTAAACAAACACTTTTTAAAAAATAGTTTTTTTTAATTTGTTCTTTAGTTTTAGGTGGACACAATATTTTATTTTTATGTGTGCTGAGGACTGAACCCAGTGCCCCATGCATGCTAGGCAAGCACTCTACCATTGAGCCATGACCCTGGCCCCCAAATATTGTTCTTTTAAAAAAGAAAATCTTCAAGCCAGGTGCAGTGGAGCATGCTTATAATCCAGTTACTCAGGAGGCTAGGGCAAGAAAATTCCAAGTTCAAGGCCAGTCTCAGCAATTTAGTGAGACCCTGTCTCAAAAAAGACTGGGGATGTAGCTCAGTAATAGAGTACCCTAGGTTCAATTCCCAGTACTACAAAAAAAATAAAATAATAAAAATAAAAATAAATAAAATCTTCAAACATTAAAACAGCTTGTTCTAGTTAAGGCAGAACCTCAAGTTCCACATTCTGCGAACCCTTTTTTGACCACACCTCTTATCAGACTCAGGCATTTCATTTGCATTCTAGGGCACTACAAAATAACCTGAAAACCTTCATCACCTCCCTACATGCTTGCCAAGTCTACGCAGCAAGAAATGAACAGGTCTGTGATACGTATTCCAAATTCTTCACACTCAAGTACACTTCTATCACTCAACAGAATTTCGCAACTTACCTGTTTATACTTCTGAGGCAGACTCCAGCCAAAAGCTTGCACTCGACCATCTTCCTTCTGAACATGTGCCTTTACCTGACGATACTGTTCTCTCTTTTGTTCTCTGCGTGAGGCTAAACTAGCTTCAGTTCTAAAAGGAAGAGATTTCCTATTTAAATTAAGTAAATGTTACAAGACAAACAACAAAAATTACTTGATTTTTTCTGACTACAATAGCTCTTTCAAAAGTGTCATACTTCCTAGCATATGTGAGGCACTGGGTTTAATTCCTAGCACTGCATTAAAAAAAAAAAAAGAGTTATACTGGTCCTTTTATATTTGTGTAGTAAAGCTTTAAAGGGTTAGTAAGCAGCCTATTATACTGGATCATTAGCCATCAAACTTCTATCAGGTTATAGATGCTGGCCATATAAAAGGAATAAATTTCTAAGTAATTTTGGCTCTTCTATTTTTGTTGTTGTTTATTCAATAAACTTTTACTGAGGATATTCTACAAGTGACTAAAAGATCACCAAGTCAAAAACTGCTCAGGAAGATAATATAATTAAATTTAGATTCCTCTAACTTCTTTCAGAAGAAAAAATGCCAACAGACTTGAGTAAGCTTTGGCACTATGGAATAAAATATGACAATAATTCTGAAAACAATTTCTCTTCTTTAGGCCATTGAAATTTTTTGTGAAGTGACTTGCTGTGTTGGGAGTCGCCCCGGCTCCAAAGACTAACTTCCCCATCCCCCAAGAAGAGCTGTCTAATGGTGAGCCCTGCTGGCTCACATGATCCTTACCCACCAATCAGAGCCCTGCTGGCTCACATGATCCTTACCCACCAGTCAAAAAGCACCCCATGCCAACTGTCAAACCACCCCTGGCTCTATAAATATGCAGAGCTGTTCCTCAATAAACGGGCATTTGCTCCCACGACAAGCCTTGTTCGTTCTTTTACTGGTGCCGAAACCCGGGAGGGGAAATGCCTCGCTGCTCAAGGGCCCCCTCTCTCAAGGCTTGCTGTCCTGGTCCACTCTTTCCAGTGCTGTTTACAACACCAGATCTTCAGTAGGTGAGTTCCCCTATTGGGTATCCAACTTCAGATGGGCTACGCAGGGGATCTGACTGTGATCGTCCGGCAAACTTCTGACGCCCAATCTGGAGGAGAGAACGCACCCCACCACGACCTTCATGGTCACAGTGGACTCTCTGGAACCTGGTTCATGAGTGGGAGGTATTGAGGGATGGAAGAACAGGCACTCCCCTCTCCTCTCTCTCTCTCTCTCTCAACCACCCTTGTCCCTCTCCTGACCAATGGGGGCCTCTTCTTCCCTCCATGCAGACTCCCCCTTATTAAATTCTGCACACAAGATTGGCCTTACTATCAATTAGACAATCAAAGTCAATGGCCCCCCAGGAGGATTCCTAGATCCCGCAATTCTCAGAGATCTGTTTAACTTCTGTGAGCGCTCGAAAAAGTGGAAGGAGTTCCCCTATGTTGAGGCTTTTTCTCTTCTTCATTCTCACCCCTACCTATCCGGCAGATGAACCTCCTCCCTACCGACCTCCCCAATCGGCTCCATCCACCCCGTCAGGTGCTCCCCCTGACTCGGCAGAAAACCTTTAGTTCCCCCCAAACTAGGTCCCGCCCCTAGTCCCACAAACCATGGCCCCTTTAAGAGAGGTTGCTGGACGGAGGGCATTATCCAGGTACATGTCCCATTCTCTATGAATGACCCCATGCAACTCGGGCAAAGGTTGGGCTCATTCACCACAAAAGAGAATTTCAAAAGGGCCCTCCAGGCTTATAGCCTCACTTATATGTTATTGGCGAATACTCTCCTTCTTGAGGAACGTACCAGAGTCTGGGAACTTGCCAGAGCCCATGCGAATGAAACTCACCGAGTTAATCCCAATCACCCTCCGGGGCCACTTGTTGCCTCCAGATCAGACTCCCAAAACCCCAGATGGCCGTCATGTCCTTATGACATATTTCCTCTGGCAGAACTACCCCGACATCTGGCCAAACTAAAAAAGCTCAAACAAGACCCTGCCACCCCCAAGACTGAGAAATTTCAGATGCTCGCCCAGGTCCTGCAGGGTGCTTCCTTGGGTCGCCGCCCATCACCGAAAACCCCCCTGGGCGCCTGCTTCAAGTGTGGCAAGGAGGGACATTGGGCCAGGGCATGTCCTGCACCACACACTCCGCGTACCCCATGCCCTAAATGTCAACAACAAGGTCATTGGGGCTCTGACTGTTCTAGATCTCATAGGAGGCCTATGGTCAGGGAACCCTCCGACCTTCTGGGCATGGCAATCAATTGACGGTGCCTTGGGTCCTTGTCCCTGGCCATAACGACCAATAGACAGAAACCCAGGGTGCGGATTCAGGTGGATAGGTGCAAGGTTAACTTTCTCCTTGACACCAGAGCTACCTTCTCAGTCCTGAAAGAATTCTGGGGGCAAACAGTGCCGTCCACCTCTCCTATTGTCGGGGTAGGAGGAAAGACCATCTATCCAAGAAAGACTCCCCTATTACTCTGTTCCATAGACAACTTCCCAACCTCTCAGATGTTCCTATTATGGCCCAAATGTCAAGTTCCTTTGCTTGGCTGAGATATTCTCTCTAAATTCAATATAACAATCAACATACGGGATCCAGTCAGGCCCCAGAATCGGCCTGTTCATCTTTTCTGGTCCTTTTGGCAGAAAACTGGCCATTCTGCTCCACTTATGAGGCTGACATGAAATACCATACTAACCTAGTTGACCCGATTGTATGGGATACCCACACCCCCTCCACCATTTCCTGATTATTCAGGACCTTCTTAGCAAGGGGTACCTCCGTCCTGCTCATTCCCCTTACTCCCATACTAGCGGTAAAAAAAACCCAATGGGTCCTACCTACGACTCATCAACACTCCCGTTAGGCCCATAAAGTTCTTCTGGGCCTACATCCTTTGGTTCCCAACCCATACACTCTGCTGTCTCAGATCCTCCACACTGCCACCCACTTCTCTGTCATAGATTTAAAGGATATCATTTTGCCTTTTACCTGGACTGTCCTTCCTCAGGGATTTTGAGATAGTCTGACCTCCAATCTTTTCACACCCCAGTGCCCCAAATCCACCCTCTTGCAATATGTGATTATCGTCCGGCAAATCTCTTTGCCCACCTGCGGAGAGGAAAGCACCCCCCCACAGCCTTTAAGGCTACAGTGGCGCTCAGGAACTCCTTCCTTGGGCAGATTCGAAAGTCCTAGTCCTCTCAACTTAAGACTCGGCCGCTAGAGAGACACTTACCCTCCCCTTCCTCTCCCCTCTTTCTGGCCCTGGGAGTATCCGGCCTCTCCAGGAGGGGTCCCGAAAAGCCTTGGCCAAGGTCTCCCACGGCTCCGGCTCTGTCTAGGACGAGAGCTTCGACTGTCAGGATTTGATGACGACCAATCTCTGCAGCTCAAACCTGCCACTTAGGCACTCCTGATTTTTTGGCTCTAGCGGGGACGCCCCTTTTGCCAATAAATCAGTTTCCTCCTTCTCTGCGTCCTTTTCCCTCCTCCTTACATGGGTAATGTGTCCTCTCCCCTACAATGCCTCTTGGATCAAGTATAGCACCCAGGCCTGGCCCACTTATCCCTTAGACAACCAAAGCAGATGGCCTCTTTTTGGGTTCCTGGATCCCTCCATTCTAAGGGATCTCTTCCAGGCTTTCTTCTTGCTCTGATCCAATCCTGCTCTCTGCACCTCTTGCAAACAAATTCTTCTAGCCGTCCAAAGGGCGCTCAACAGATGTCAGAGTTCTCCTACTTAATTTCTTGGCCTTAAAGGGATATCGGGCCTCTCCACAAAAGGCCCAAATAGCATGTATCTAGGGTTCTCTATCTCTCAAGGGAAAAAGGCCATTATTGTGTCTATACCTACACCAAAGACCAAAGATGACTCTCCTTCTTGGGTTTGACTGGGTACTTCAGGGCCTGGAATCTGGCCAAGGGCCCCCAAGATGAACCCCTACTCTCAGCGGTAGAGAAGCCCTTTAAAAAGGCCTCCTCTGGGCACCCACCCTGCATCTCTCGGACCTCTCCCGACCCTTCACCCTCTATATAAAAACAGGGACAAAGTCTGGCATTCAGAGTCAGGAATATGGCCCCACATTTGCACTAGTGGCCTACCTATCCAAACAGTTTGACCCCACCGTCAGGGGCTGGCCCCTATGCCTCAGAGCCCTAGCAGCGGCCCATGACCTCCAGAAAGAAGCACACAAGCTTATCTTTGGCTCCCTGATAACCATCTCATCTCCTCACCATTAAAGGATTTTCTCACTTACAAGGGGGCTACAGTCACTTCCTCCTTCCAGGGTTCTATCCCTCCTTGTCTCTCCTTGAAAATCCCTCCATCTCTTTTCAGCCCTGCTCTCCATTAAACCCTGCCTCCCTCTTCCCATCTTCTCACTCACAAGATCCCGTCCACAAATGCCTGGAGGTATTAGAGACGATTTTACCCCGCCCTACCACCATTTCTGAGGGACCCCTGCCCTCTTCGGACCTCATATGGTTCTCAGATGGTAGCTCCTTTATATACAAAGGGGTTAAAGTAGCAGAGTATGCTGTTGTTTCCCTCTCATCCACCATAGAGGCAAAACCTCTCCCACCCAATACCACCAACCACCAAGCTGAACTCATAGCTGCCACAAGGGCATGCGAACTAGCAGAGGAAAAACCCTCTCCCTATATAATACGTCTTCCATATCCTGATCTCCCACGCAGCCATTTGGAAGAAAGGGGGCTAGGGGGCTATTGACCACCAGAGGGACGGCAGTCATTAATTCCACACTTATTTCTGGCCTACTACAAGCGCTGCCTTCCTAACTGGGAATAATCCATTGCAAGGCCCACCAAACTGACTCCTCCCTTACTACTATGGGGAATTCCAAGGCTGATCAAGCGGCTCAATCAGCCACCCTACAGAGCTTTACCTCCACTCCGCTACTCTTCATAACCACCGGGGATCAGCCCAAAGATCCCCAACAACTCTTCCAGTTTCTTCACTCTCAATTCCATTCTAGTCCACAGAGTCTTACTACTTTCCTTCACTCCTTTTTCACCCTTTCCTGCGCGATAAGACCCTCCTACAACAGATCACTTCCGCTTGTCAATCTGCCAGAAAACCAATACCAATACTCCATTAAAACCTAAACATTTCCCTTCTCATCAGGCCTGCGGTCATACCCCATCTGCAGACTGGCAGATTGATTTCACCAACATGCTCCGAATAAAAAACATAAAACATCTTCTTGTATTGGTAGATACTTTTTCGGGATAAACGGGCCTCTACAGTAGTTGATCTATTGCTTACTCACATAATCCCCCGTTTTGGGATGCCCACTTCTATCTAATCAGATAATGGCCTAGAATTCACCTCACAAATAACTCAGGGACTGGCTCATGTGCTATCACTCCCTTGGCATTTCCATTGCCCTTACCACCCCCAGGCTTCCAGAAAGGTTGAAAGGACCAATCGGTCCCTTATTGCCCACCGGGGGAAAGCCCCCTCTAAAACCAAAATGGAAGGGCCCTGCTCAGGTGATTATGTGCACACCCTCAGCAGCCAAACTCAAACTACCTAATAACCAACTTACCCCATGGATTCATAATCCAGACTTAATCCACTCCTACACCTTCATCAGAAGAGCTAATGATCTTTCATTACCTGTCATTAAGTACTCTTGTCGATGCTCCCCCTCATTTCTGGCCCCTCTTGGGTCCTCTCTTTGCCGTATGTCTGAAGATTCAAGGCAAGTGACACTAAGGGCCCCCTCCAGCCAGATCCCCCGACACTTGCTTGAATCTGGCCGGTAGTGGGACCGTTGTGTGTTGTCCTTCTGACAAACCACTTAGGTGTCCAGAGCATGGTGACCCCTGAATAAGTGTTATCATAAGAGAGCACTTTACCAGTTGCCTTCTGGGCCTAAGGAGAAACATGTGTGTTTTGTTTACCCTCCCAGTTTCATTGAGGTGTAACTGGTGTGCAGGACCCTGCACATAGTTGGCACGTACAGTTTGGGCATGTTCACATACTGGTGTTCCCATCACCACCCTCCAACAGCATTCCCACGCCTGGGTTCCTGGTGAAGTTGTTTCTTCCTTTTGCTTATATCTACCTCTACCTGAGTTACTTTCAGTGAGTCCATGACTGTCCTGGGAGGCAACCTGAGCTCTCCTTGGGGGAGGCGTTGGGTGTGCTCTGGTCCAGCCCACCTGCTCTATCGTCACTCTGTCTTCCCCTGTCTGAAGTGCTCTCTAAATCCTTCCTTTCCTCAACTTCTCCATCCTGTGTGGAGGTTGCCCTGTTATGGTGATCCACATGCCCTGCTTCTGAAAAACCAAGATGCTTCTTTGGGTACTGCCTGTTTGCCAATAGAAGAGTGAGAAGCTTTGGTGTCATGAGCTAGTTACAGGCTTTGATAGAGTTTCTGCTTTTCCTATGTGTATGCATGTGCATGTCTGAGTTCAGTTTTAAGTTCCCAGGGGAAGAAGTCACCATCTTCTGATGGCAGCTGGAGTGTACGTAAGTACCACTGAGACTCACTGCTCAGACCAGTGGTTAGCTGGAGCATCTATGCCAAGTGTGATAGCATGCACTTAGTGTGTCCACCTTCAAGTTTACACAGGGCTCCAGAGAGCCTCCCAGTTTCGTAAGAATTCCAAGTATCAGTATTTAAAGTTGAGGTGTTTCACATAAAATCTGGAGAGATTTGACTGCTCTCAAAGGGAAATATGGTAGCTGGTACACCCAGGTAAGAGAAAGTTTGAAGAGCAGCCTTAATAGAGAGGGGAGGGAGCTAGATTGGACTAGGAATGAAGAGTGGAATTGAGGGTGTTAGGTACAGGACAGGCTGGTCTGCAGGGACTGCAGGGCATGTCAAACAAAGACAGCTGGCCTCTCAAACCCTCTGTCTGGTTCTATATCACCTGTTTGCTTCAAGCCCAAACGCCCAAGCCCCCAGGGTTGAACACTTAACCCCCCTTGGGCCAACAAGGCAGCTTGCAGACCCAGAGACCCCATTAGATTTGGGCTATAAAAACTCCCTGTGCCTGGTCCTTCCCCCTATCATAAAGTTCATTCAGACTCAGGTGAGTAAAATTTCTAATCAAGCTTTTAACCAGCTTCTCCTCAGGAATTACCAACTCCTGGCTACTGATGATACCTCCAGTCAAGACCTATGCCAAATGGACTGACGTCATCATGGATCTGTGGTGGCAAGGAACCTTCGTTGATACCGGTCTTCTCTGCCCTCCTGTGGGGGCTCCTTACTTCCCTCCTCTTTCTCCCACACCGCCCCATTTCAGCAGGAAGCAGCCAGAATGAGTTGACACCCATTCTCATTTAATAACAAAGAGGGGGGAATGTTGGGAGTTGCCCCGGCTCCAAAGACTAACTTCCCCATCCCCCAAGAAGAGCCATCTAATGGTAAGCCCTGCTGGCTCACATGATCCTTACCCACCAATCAGAGCCCTGCTGGCTCACCTGATCCTACCCACCAATCAGACTAGCCCTGCTGGCTCACCTGATCCTTACCCTCCAATCAAAAAGCACCCCATGCCAACTGTCAAACCACCCCTGGCTCTATAAATATGCAGAGCTGTTCCTCAATAAATGTGCATTTGCTCCCACGACAAGCCTTGTTTGTTCTTTCATGCTGTGTTGATCACAGTTAACAAATCTACCCAAACACACATCAGGCATTTTACAAATATATGAAATATAATTCTAACACCTTTGAGATATGTTAGACTCATTTTTCAGTCAGAGAAACTGGGGCTCTAAGATGTTAGTCTGTCCAAGATATTAGTTTGTCTGTATATATCTAAGCAGTAAGAGAGTCAGGACATCAAAGGAAAAGTTCAAATATTTAAGAAAAACAATTATATAAACCTTTAGCCAGGCATGGTGGTGCACACCCGCAATCCAGTGTCTCAGGAGGCCAAGGCAGAAGGATTGCCAAGTTCAAAGCTAGCTTCAACATCTTAGCAAGGCCCTAAACAACTTAAAGAGACCATGTCTCAAAATAAAAAATAAAAAGGAGCAGGTTGCAGTGGCACATGCCTGTAATCCCAGCAGCTTGGGAGGTGAAGTTCAAAGCCAGCCTCAGGGAAAAAAAAAAAAAAAAAAAACTAAGCAACTCAGTGATATCCTGTCTCTCTCTAAATAAAATACAAATCAGGGCTGGGGTTGTGGTTCAGTGGTCGAGTGCCCCTGAGTTCAATCCCTGGTACCAAAAGATAGATAGCTAGAGAGATAAGAAGAATAGATAGATAAGGGCTGGGGATGTAACTCTGTGATTAAGTGCCCGTGGGTTCAAACCCCAGTACCTAAATAAATAAACGTTTAGTATTTCTATTAATATTTATCAATGTCATACCAACAAAAATGAGGCATGTAAAAAAAATTCCCCTTATGAAAACTGTGAAATGCAATTTTCTTTTGTTTTATATATTTATTTTTTTAGCTGTAGTTGAACACAATATCTTTATTTAATTAATTAATTTATTTTATGTGGTGCTGAGGATTGAACCCAGGGCCTTTAAGCAAGCAAACTACTACTGAGCCACAACCCCAGCCCTGCAATTTTCTTAATAAGTGCTGACCACAAGTAATTAATGGTAGACAAGTTATAGAAATAGTGTCTTTAGGTTTAACTGAATCCTTATAAAAGGTCTAATAAGGGGCAAGAAAATTTGAAAATGTTAATTATTTTGGTCACGGCCATTCATCTAGAAAATACTTACTCTTCACTAAGGAAATCAAAAGCTTTGGACTTATCCCCAGGAAGCTGAGATAAGGTGCTGCTTCTTTTCTTGACAGAAGGAGTAACATGAGAGGTGGGTGCATTATACTTCAGATTAACAGGTGGTTCAGGCTTCTTTGTTGTATTACTTGAAGAGCTGAAAAGTCGGCTGAAACTAAAAAAAAAAAAAAAAAAAGTGTATGTCTACCACGTTTGCTGTGATAAGAATTCATGATTTTCCACAAACTTTTAAGCTCAAGAAAATTCCAAAGTGCTTTAACAAGGCAAAGAGGTTAGAAACTGGCAAAAACAGTCTTTGTAGTCACACACTGCAGCCAAACTCAGATTTTCAGGGAAAAGAAACTACAGTTTAGGAAACCAGACCTGTTCTTTAATTAGCAATTTCTATAATGTGAAAGGGAGAAGTTCTTGAGTATAGGGAGCTTCTACTGAATGAACAAAATAAAATCATTGCTTTGCTTGCTCCTACTTGGTGAATTTAAGAGTGGTTGTTAAGCAGCAAGATTAGGCCTCATGATGTGAACAGCAGCTTAGTACACCAGTTCTAAAAACAGTCTTATAATGAAGTATTAGAACACACATTACCATGTTAACAAACATCTTATGTATTTTCTAAGTCAGCTCAACTTAAATTTCTTTCATGTCCACATTTTAAAAATTTGATGTTTCCATTAAGTTTTTAATTTAAATTACTTTCATTTAAAACTTGATGTTTCCATAGCAGACTAATTAAAAGAGGGTTTTTTTTTTTAATTTCTTTTTTAGTTGTTGATAGATCTTTATTTATACATGGTGCTGAGAATCAAACCCAGTGCCTCACACATGCCAAGCCATTACACTACCGCTGAGCCACAGTCCCAGCCCCAAAAGGTAAGTCTTAATCATAGCATAAATATAATTCAAATTCAACACATACACACACTAATCAAATCCCTCAAACACCAATTTTCTCATCTTCACATCTTTCACAATCAATGAATGGGTAACATTTAATGGAGATCAAGGTAATTATCAGCTTTATAAATAGTCCCCCATTATTTTATTTAATTTGGGAGAGGATTCCATCAAATGCATAACCAACATGATGCAGCTTACGATAGTGTATTTTTTTGTCCTTCAATAACAGCCTTACCGAGTTGGCATGCTATAAAAAAAAAAATTCAGTTTAGCTATTTATCTCCAATTTTTAAAAAAATCAACTATAATCTTCCTGTTTCAAAATGCTAATAGCCTTAATGTACTTACAACTGCCAGATGCTTGACCTTTTTTTTTCCTGCATGGCTGGATTTTCTCGTGATGCCCTATATTAAAAAAAAAAAAAACAATGGTCATCAGTTAGGTGTTCTGCTTTCTGAAAAACAAAAGACCCAAGAACTTCACAGGATACACAGTTAAGTTCAGCAAGTAGTTACTTTGATCCACCATTAGGAAGTCAATCTGTGAAAGTGAATAATACTAGATTAATAAAATACCATCTCTCACTCAAAGAGCTTAGTCTACTAACTGAAGATTATTATCTGTGTTGGAGAGAACAGCCAATATGCCTGAAAGTTAATATTTAAACATTTTTCCATTTCATTTTTTTTTTTTTTTTAAAGACATGGTCTCACCGTGTTGCCAAATTAGAAACATCTTTTAGCTGGGTGCAATGATGCACACCTGTAATCCCAGTAATTCAGAATACTAAGGCAAAAATATTGCAAGTTCAAGGCCAACCTCAGCAACTTAGCAAAGCCCTAAGCAATTTAGCAAGACCCTGTTTCAAAATAAAAAGAGCTGGGGATATGGCTCAGAGGTAAATTGCCCTGGTTAAATCCCCAGTTCCTAAAATAGAATAAAATAAAAAATTAAAAACAACTTTTAGCTAGGCATGGTAGTGCTTGCCTGCAATCCCAGTCTTTAGGGAGGCTGAGCAGGGGCCTTCACAATTTAGTGAGATTCTGACTCAAAATAAAATATACATTGTGTGCATGTACTAATACATAACAACAAATTCCACCATTATGTACAACTATAATGCACCAATAAAAAATGACAGAGCAAACAAACAAATAAATAAACAGGGCTAGGATATAGGTCAGTGGTAGAGTGCCCCAGGGTTCAATCCTTCAGTACTAGAGGGGGTAAAAAGTCTTTTCAACAAAGAATAAGCTACCATTTCCTTTTACTCATTGATTATATCTTGGCTGTGAGAGTTAAAAACAGCAATGAAAAACAGACTCTGGATATATGTCCTCAGTTTTAAAAATATTTAACATTTACTCTCTTTACTAAATACTACAGTTAAGAACACTCTTCTCAGGTTAGATTCCTTGTCCAATAAATAAAGAATAACTTACCATAGGTACTATTTTTATTATTGCTATTATTAGTAAATCAAAAATATAGGTATATTAGTAGGCAACTAATATACAAGCATTTCAAAAGCTCTTGCTAAATTATAGGAATACTGTTAGTGAGAATATGACAATTAAATGGCAGAATTAGGTGAGATTTGAAACCCAATAAAAGACAATACTGCCAGGTATGGTGGTGCATTCCTTTTATTTCAGAGACTCAGGAGGCTGAGGAAGGAGGATTGCAAGTGTAAGACCAGCCTCAGCAACTTAGGCCCTGAACAACTTAGCAAGTGCCTATCTCGAAATAAAAAATTAAAAGGGTTGGGGATGTGGTTCAGTGGTAAAGTGCCTGTGGATTCAATCCCTAGTACCAAAACCCAAAAAGATTGCATAACAAATTTTGATCTTTTCTTAACATTATGAAAGTAGTATCAGTTTCTTTTTTTCTGGTGTGATACTGGGGACTGAACCAAGGATACTCAACCACTGAGTTATAGTCCTAGCTCTTTCTATTTTGAGATAGGATCCCATTAAGTTGCCTTGGCTGGTCTCAAACTTGTGATTCTCTTGTCTCATCCCAAATTGCTGGGATTACAGGCATGTACCACTTCAGTGAGCTCAGTTTTTACATTCTTTTGAAAAATGACCATCATTCCTGAGTAGTAACAACTGCCTTTTACAGATTGTGGGAGCATCCTGGAAGATTCATAGTGACTCAAAAGATACCTGCTCTGATCACTTTCTATTACTAATCCAAGTATTATAGTCTCTCCTAGTAAACAGAGAAAATGATATTTACCCTCAAGGGAAGACTTGTTCTGAATGAAAAATATATAGATTTAAGAAACAATGGTAGGAAATTTTAATATTTTTTTTTGGTTGTAGATGGACACAATATCTTTATTTATTTATTTTTATGTGGTGCTGAGGATCGAACCCAGTGCTTCACATGTGCAAGGCAGGCTCTCTACCACTGAACCCCAGCCCCAGCCCACAGAGTACTTCTTATACAAACCGAATCATCTCTGTCCATCGAACAGCTTCTTGAAGCTCCATTAATCTCTCCTTATACTGGTTTCTTTCCATGAGAACACGGGCCATTTCTACTCTAGTAAACCGCTTCCTCTGAGCTGTGGGTATATCACTCTATAATGACAAGAAAACAACAGATCACTTCAGGAGCTTATATGTGTTTTGGTATTAATCTCAGATTTAAGTAAAATCTTCAAGTTTTTAAACATTCCTTAATTTCTCATCTAATAGATGAGAAATAAAACAATGAAAATTTAAATAGTTACTTATGACTAAAAAGAGGTAGGTGATTTAATTTCTAGATATAAATACTGATATTTAAACATATTATAAAGAAATTACAAAAATTAGTGCAGATTTGAAACTAAAACCCAAAACTGTTTTCTATACAGATTTAATATGCTCTCATCAGTTTTACTTAGAAATGTTGTTCTAATTGTGAATTTTGTGTTCTATAACAATCATCATTCAGAAAATAGCTACAAGCTAGTTCCAAAACCAACAAATACAAATACAAATACAAATACAAATACAAAACAACAATACATCCAAGGATCAATATAAATGATAAACTTATTGCCTAGTTACCAGTGTACCCAAATATAAGAATAACTAAAATATGAGTAGAGATACAACAAAATAGAGACTACTGCATTAACTAGACTCATTCTTAGAACAAAGATGTGAATATGGAGGATGTGTAGGGTTAGGTTCCAAAAAGGGCATGCCCAAGTTAACTTCCATCTGCTGCTGCTTTTTCAATGCTCTTGTGGGGAAAAAGGTAGGTTTAACTGTAGGTATTTTGCTTTGCTGAAAGGAGTACGAATATTTGGATCAAAGCTTGGGATATTAAGAGAAAAGCTGAGCTTAACCCTCAGCAGTCATCCTCCTTTGATCTCCTGTCACAGAACCTGGCCCCAGCTTTAAATAAAAGTTAATGATGAATAACAAAGGACCTGAATTTTGCAATACAGCAAGTAATCCCATTATTAGGTAGATAACCTGGAAAAATTCCTATACGCTGAGACTTGCACTAAAATGTTCTTGATAGCAGCATTACTTATGGTAGTAAAACACCAAGACTAACCTAAATATTCATTAACAGGAAGACAGATAAATTGTAGAATATTTATGTAATAAGATATTATGAACAACAACACTATTCTACAATACAGGTAAATCTCAAAAATATGCTATTGAGTAAAAGAAGCAAGTCTTCAAGACTAAATACATATGAAACACAAAAATAATGAAAACCATATTTTGTAAAGGGACATACGTACACATACACACATGGTATGATACAATTATTGTTTTTTTAAAGTTGAATAAATGATAAATACAGGATCAAGGTTTCCTTTGGAGTGGAGGAGCCCAGAGTAGCTCAACGTTTGGTAGTGGCCTAGTTCTTAAACTGGGTAGTAGGTTCATAAAGTTAACTTATTCATAACTTACATGTTACATGTTTTCTGTCTGTATTAATTAATATATTAAAACACGAAAGGGGGGGGGTAAGATGGTAGAATGAGATGGATATTATTACCCCTATGCATGGGTAGAATTGTATGAATGGTGTGACTCTACATCATGTACAACCAGAGAAATGAAAAGTTGTGCTCCACTTGTAAAAAAAATAAAATTAAATAAATAAATACACAAATACAGAATAAACTAAAAGGGGAATCAAATGATAATTCTCTTCAGGACTCCAATATATCTCAAGTCTGATCTTTAGTGTGAAGCACCTGTTATAAGAATGATAATAAAGCTACTAAAAGAATTACCAGCATGACAACACTGGCATGAAACTCATACTTTATTCTTTTGTATTGATGTATACAGACTGCAATATGGGCTAAATTTTAGTACTTGAAGCTCATAATTTATTCTTTTGTATTCATGTATATAGAAAGCAATATGGGCTAAATGCTTAGTACTTAAAATTCTAGATTTCATCTTTTTATGTTAAATACTATTAAATAATTTTACTGTTATCATGTTTCTCTAAAACTTTTATTTTTGCAGTGCCAGAAACTGAACCCACGCCCACCTAGACCAGGCTTTCATATTTCTAAGTTAAAATATGAAACAAAATAAATGATAAACAACAAAACCCAAAATGTTCCAGCTGGTCTTTGAACCTGAATAGGCAAACCACAGATCAGAGCACAGAGACAGAAAAAACATAAAAACACAGCATGTAGCTAGAAAGCTTAGCACCTGAACACTCTGGGGAAGCATGAGCTATCCTTTTCATTACCCATACACATGTCTTCTAATTATTTAAAAGATTTACAATGCTATATATCCAAATCTCAATTAGCAAGATTTTCCAAAAATATCAAAACATGGTAAGATAAAAATCCCAAAACTATAAACCTACATCATCATCATCTTTTGCTTTCTGCCTTGCATCTTCAGCTTCTGCACGAGCTCTAGTGGGAAAATAAACAAAACATGTTATTTAAACTGAGTTCATCTTTTCAAAATACTGAAAGTGTAGGTGAAGAATTTTAACTACCACTAAAGTATTATTTTTCTTGTTCCAAAAGGGCATTTTGTTACCTTCAATTCAGAAAGATATTATCATAGCATTCCTTAAAAAATAAAACCAAAAATAAAAAACTGGGTGAAGAAAAAAATGAATTTTAATTTCCTTATTATCAAAGATACTTGAATAGTTTTAATACTTTTCACATCAAGACAAAAACAAAAATGATAATATCTGGATGACAAGCTGGTAAATGGAAGGCCTGCTCACTGCAAAGATAGGTAGGGGCTGGGGGCATTTCACACTCTCCAGGGAGCTCTTGGCCCTTCCTGACTTGAGAGAGTTAAAGGTCTCAAGCTCAGGATTATACCTATAACCTTTTGTGGCATCCTGGCAAAGACAGTTTGGTTTAGAGCAGTACAGCCAAAACTTACTTTCTGAGCTCCTCTTCCAATTCTTTGTTCTTTTCTTCTAGCTTCAGTTTGGCTTGTTTCACAGCCTCTAATTCCCCTTGCAGCACGTCTTTCTCACAGGTGAGTTCATCCACTTTTGCTATCAGATCATTCTTTACTACATTCAAAGCATTTCTAAGAAACACATATTTCAAGTGCAAGATTACACGAATACTCTTTTGTCTTTCAGATTATTCCTTTGTACCCCAAAGTAACTGTACAATCATAAAGCTAAATAACTGAAGACTTTTGGACATTCTGCCTGATGCTATTTGTAAACAAAAGCAAAAGAATAAAAAATATTCAAGTGCTTACTATTCTTCCCACTTATTTAAAGGAAGAATGGATAAAACAAGACAGACCAACAAAAAAATCAGAATTAACCAAGATTAATCCCAGTGTGGTGGCACATGCCTGTAATCTCAGTGACTTGGGAGGCTGAGGCAGAAGGATTGCATGTTTAAAGCCAGCCTCAACAACTTAGTGGGGCCCTCAGCAACGTAATGAGACCCTGTCTCAAAATAAAAAAATAGAAAAAAAAGTGGGGATGTAGTTCCATGGTTAAGTGCTCCTGGGTTCAACTGTAAGTACCAAAAAAAGAAAGCAAATTAACGTTAAGGCAACTACTATTATTAGTAAATTCTTCTTTTTTCTTTTTTAATACTTTTCACATCAAGACACAAACAAAAATGATAATATCTGGATGACAAGCTGGTAAATGGAAGGCCTGCTCACTGCAGAGATAAGGGCTGGGGCATTTCACACTCACACTGGGGACTGAACCTAGGACACTTACCACTGAGCACATCCTCTATGCTTTTTTTTTTTTTTTTTTTTTTTTTTTGAGATGGGAGTCTTGCTAAATTGCTGAGGCTGGCCTTGAACTCGAAATTCTCCTGCCTCAGCCATCCGAATCACTGGATTACAAGTGTGTGCCACTACACCTAGCTTCTATTGTTTGTGAGTTCTGAAGAGAAATTGCCCAATCAATAAAGTTGAATAACTCCTTGAAGTTAAAATACTCTGAACTGGAGAGAAATTTAAGAAAAAAGTTCAAGAGGTAGTTTCTTTAGGTATAGTGGACATAGGACCTTCTGATAGTTGTATTTTGGGGGACTATCTATACATGTTCCACAGTGATCTGACATAGCAAATTGATGAGGGGACCCAGTCTACTTTTTATCCACATGACAAATGATTTGCTCCATTAAATAAAATTTCACATTGCTTGAGGGCCTAAGACTCCATAAATTGTACTAGAGAATATACAACCTTGGTGGAAAGTTCCATAAAAATGGGCTGGGCATGTATCAAATCATTTGTGCAGAAATAGAGATAAGAACATAGACAAATCTTAGAGAAGAGAGCAAAAAAAAAAAAAAAAAAAAATTCAAAAAACAAGTACTGGACACATCCAGAAGATTAAGAGAAAGGCATGGATACTTATAAAGTGGAAAGAAAACAAAAATTTATGTTCTGCAAAGGTCCTATTACATATTTTCACAGAGGGAGAAAAGACAGAATTAGTGCTGTGTTAAACTGATGAAGTGTCACTGACTTGGACAAAAAGAAAATTTATTATCTCTTATTCCTTGTTAAAATTTCATACTTACTTGGTTTCCAACAGTTGTGTATTTTCTAGTATAAGATTCTCAACTTCACGACCCATTCCTATCAAAAGACAAATGATAAAAGACCTTGAAAATTTGTGTAACAAATTATATATAAGCTATAGTCATAAATTTTATCTATCCTCTAAGAAATCTTATTGTGCATCTAGTTTCATTTGACATATATGCTTGTAATAAATTTTAAAATTATAAATAATTATCACAAAATAAAGCTAAACATCTTGTTGTCCAATTTTTCTGTTCTTGTTTTTTTTTTTGAGACAGGGCCTTGCTATGGTGTCTAAGACAGTTTAAAATTCCTGGACTCAAGCAATCTTCCTGTGTTAATCTCCCAATTAGCTGGAGTTACAGGTTTATGCTAATGCACTCAGCTCTTGCTGGTCTTCTTTAAATCTGTTAGTCTATATTTTATTTCTCATAGATAATATTTCAAAAAGATCAAAATCTTTTGCCAAATATTCTAACAAGTAGCATTATTTAGAGAGAAAAAAGAATGGCATTAATGTAGATCAGAAATTGTTTCTAAATCACAGCTGATATTAGGCTTCTGCCTAAAAATTTGGTTTTATTAATACAGAATAGACAGAAACAAGGTCAAAAAAGAGACAGAACCCCAAGGCAGATGAAACCTTACCAAAGAAATTATGGTCTTAAAGCCCATGCATTCCATGTAAAGCAAAAACAAAGAACAAGAAATGTTTTATGTAAGAAACAGCATGAAAACAGATTATTAATCTATAAAGTTTTATGCATGACATGAAAAACATCTGGAATCAGTGTTATGATTTAATGCACAATGATGTGTAAACAACAAAAAATAAAGATGATTTCCTTCATTCATAAGGATGCTCTCTGTACACTTAAAAAATGCTTTACCAATTCTCTCTCACAATAAAATTCAATATAATTAGATTGAAAAACCCACAATTTGGGTTGGGATGTAACTCAGTGGCAGAGTGCTTGCCTAGCATGTGTGAAGTCTTGGGTTCAATCCCCACACAGTATTAAAAAAAGAAGAAGAAGCCCTAAGTCAATAATACAAGGTTTCCTATAAAATACCACCTATGAAATAATAATACGATTGTTATTTTATAGAATTATACTTAATATTTTAATTGGTACTGTAAAACAGGCATGTAGAACATTTAATGCCATATCCAAAGCAGACTTTAAGGAGAATAAAGCTACTTAATTAGCTTCTCATAAGAAAATGAAGAAATAAAATAACACATTAAAGAATATTACAAAACAAGAACACCCCAAATCCATCACTTTACTCATCCCAACAAACAAAACAAACCTAGGCATGCTAAAAATCCCATGGACTTATATTTCGTCTTTACCAACATATTTAACCTGGCAGCCATATGTTTTTTATAAACTGAAAAAACAAAAGGAAAACTAAAAAACTTTCTATTTCTAAATCCCAGCCCCAAAATAACTTCTGCCAAATTGTTTGCTTTAAACACAAATGTTAACCTTTCAATAAAGACACAGAGACAGAAGAAACTGAGTTTGAACTAACTGAAAAAGTTCAAATAATAAATATGTTTACTTGTTTACTATATATCACAAACAATATATAAGCATAAAAGCTGAAAATATATGCAGGGCAAAAAAAAAAGTTGAGCAGGAAAAAAAAATGATGAGAAAGCATTAAATGAGAACAGCAGGCAAGAACACCTAGCTTATAAAGCAGTAATATAAAATAATTTAAAAGTATACACACCAGAATATTCCCCTGGGTAAGCAGCCCAAGAGTAAAATGAATGAGAATCTCAATTAGATTATTTTCTGAAAGCAAGAAGTAAACTCATTTATTTTAAAATGAGAGAGAGGTAACAAGAAATTGAAACAATATAGGGAAAATATTAAAGACAAAGTATAAATAAATATTATAAATAGAAAAAAAAAAGAAATATATGCCCATGAGAACCTTTTCCTAAAATCTAGCTTCTAAAGTTTAAACTTAAACATTGAAGAGTTGAAGAGATTTTTAAAATCTAGTGCACAGAGCTGGGAATGTGGCTCAGTGGTGGAATGCTTGCCTAGCATGTATGAGGCCCTGGGATCAATCCCTGGCACTAAGGAAAAAAAAAATCCAGTGCATAAGTTAAGTGGGAATATTCAAATTTTTTCACTTCAAAATATATCAATAAAAACTAACTCATTATAATTATAGGAAAAATACTACTTGAAGAGGTCTCATCTCTATTCAAGACTTAAACTAAGTATAAACTTAAGTCTAACATATTTGAAACTGACTACTAAAAACAAGGGGGTGGGGAACTCCCTGACAGTTTTTAAATTATAGAAGTCTCATTTGAATATTAGTACTGATGCTCAAGTTAGGTCCACAGATAGGCTTCAGAGTTATCTAGTAAACCCTTGAGAAAGTATGCCCCATTATATCTTATTGTACACACTTTTCCAAAGGTACATTGCTCTCTTAAAAAATTCTCCTGTAAGGGATTTTTAATCCCTAAAAGTGAAGAAGCAGATTTAGAGATGAAACAAAACCGTTAGAACTATTTCACAACATTGTTCATTTAGTTTCTGTGCTTATGTGCTAAAAATGCAGTAATGCAGTTGTTCTATCCACACTGAACATATTTAGGAGAAAACAAACAAACTGGGGACTGGCTGCAAGAGAAGAGATGATGAGGCTGTTCATTCACCACGACAATACATACTGGTGCAAGAATAGGAGACAATCAACAAAGATTATGAGTTAAGCTTGAGGCATGTCAAATACAGAGTCCTGCAAATCATCACAGGAGCAATAGGTAGGCAGTTTGGAAATCACAGTCTGTGACACTAGGAAAAAAGATGGGATGGAGATAAAAACTTACATTAGTCACAAAAATTAAGAAACAATGACAGCAAATATGATTTCCCAAAGAAAGAAGCAGGCCTAGGACAGGAAAGCTGATATCTGAAAGTTGAGCAGAGAAAGCATATCCTGGTAAGATAACCAAAAAGGAAAAGCCAGAGGCAGAAAAGGAAGAAGACAAGTCTGATATTACAGAAACCCAACAAGGATAGTTTTATAGACAACTACTTTTGAGAAGTCATGTAAAATAACTGAGAAGGAATCACAACCAAGAAGGCTATTGAAGGCAAGGTTGGTGAGAATGCCAGACAGCAGTAGAATGAGGAGCAAGTAAAACTGTGAAGTCCTGCTGGTTAAAGACTACAAGAAGTTTTGAAGTTTTGCTCACTATCATAGATACAGTGCTTTGCACATAGCACATATTGTAGCATAACAAGTGTAACTAGAAATGAGAAGAAAATGAGTGATAGCTGACAGACAATGAGTTTCAGGGTCAAAAGAGGGAAATATTCTTATTTTTAAATAGAAAAGACCTAAATATGTTTAAATGATAATGGGAAGAAGTTAATAGTGATAGAGAAGTTGAAATATGTAAGATAATTAAGAAAAATCTCAAGAGTTGACTTATGAACATATGATTTCCAAGTTCTAGGGATGTAGTCATGAGTGACAAAGTGGAGAAAAGGACAACTGTATAACGATTAAAGAACTAAGTCCTGGGAGAAAACCGTTTTATAATAATATAGGAACTTAAAAAATGAATAAAGAGGGCTGGGGTTATGGCTCAGTGGTAAAGCACTTGTCTAGCACGTGTGAGACATTGGGTTTGATCCCTAATACAATAAATAGATAGATAGATAAATGGTGTTGTGTCCATCTACAACTAATTTTTAAAAAATGAAAATGGATAGTGGATTCAACAATCCAAGGTTAATTAAAGGCCTTGGAGAACAATTTTATTAGCTAAACTATCTCCCATTTAGTGAGTATTACTTAAGCTGTTATCACTGAATTGCACACACAAGAGAAGCCAAGGAACAAACATATTCCTTAGAAATTTCATTTACCATTTTGGACACAGGCACTGAACTTAATATATTAAAATATTCTAATCTGAAATATACTAATATCTGCAAATGCAAAAGATAGCAGTTTACATTTTCTTTCTTATCTTCATCATGGAAAGGAAACCAAAAGAATCAAGATTTTGTTTTTAATCAATTTATTATGCTTAATTTTAGGACTTTCACCAAATACTTGACCTAATTAAAAGACCACAAGTGTTTCAGAGTACTGTATTGTTTTATTTTTTATAGGGACAGCTAGGGATGTAGTCAGTGTAGAGTACTTGCTGAGTGTGCACAGGGTCTTATGTTCAATTCCCAGCACTACAGTTACTGAATTAATTAAAATTGATTATTTTAAAAACATTTTTATAGTTGTAGATGAACAACATGCCTTTATTTATTTGTTTAGTTTTTTTTTTTTTTTTTTTTTTTTTTTTTTTTTTT